CTGAGTTTATAATTGAAAATAAAGTATAACTAAACAACAAAAACCAGATTAGATTAGGTGTTAGAGTGAAGTGAAAACTCTTTTTTTATATGTATATAAACACAACATTATTATCATAACAATGGCTTTATAAGCAAAATTTTTATAGTTTAAGACTCATATACTATAAGTTATAGTATGATATATAAAGTATAATATAAATTTTAAATATTAATGTTTGCATTGGTAATCTATGATAACACAAGCATAACATTATACTGTGCCGTATATTATTATCAATGCTTTTTTTACTTAATATAACATATTACCTTTAAAATACAATTTTGAATAACATTAATAAAAAAATATTTTTATTTAACTAAAAATAGCTAAATATTAAAAATTTAGTTATGTTTTTATATTACATTGATTAAAAATTTCAGTTATATTAGTTGTTTATTTACAATTGAACTTTTAAGATAATATCATATTAAGTATATGTATTGATTGAGTCAATGAACAAAAATGAAAAAATAGTTATATTTATTCATCCATTAAATAAATGTTTATAGAAATATTATAAACTCTATTATACTTATATAACTATTAACTAAATAAACTTTTATGAAACCTTAGTTATGCCATAATATTGTTGTAAATAATACTTATATTATCTATTGTTAGCCGACTTTTCTATTGATGAGAGCTATCTGTTGCCGCTTCTCATACATATTGAATGACTCAATCATTGAAGTGATAGTCGAGAGTCATCACACTATCGCTGCAAATGATTGACGCTTTTTACTGTTGATATCTTGTGTGGCAAACACTAGAAAAAAATGAAAGTATGGCATAAAGTGGACACACATTTGCGCATATTTTACAATATAGTGTTTTACAATACAGTATAGTGCAACCCATAGAGACAGACATTTTAAATCATAGTAAGATATGTCTGTCATTAAATTTTATAAAAAAAAATTTTTTTAAAGTCATCGATATTTTGTTATATATGTCTCTCTAAACTAAAAATATTTATAAAAAATAGATTAGACAACATTTTTTTAAATATTCTTAGTAATTAATTTATATCAATAATATACTCTATATATATCAGGGTTAAGTAAGGAGGGGTAGGGGGTAAGGCCAAAATACCCCCCCTAGGATCGAGATTTTGGGATTTTACCCCCCAGACTTTTTGACCAAATGGGAAAAATTGTCGCTTAAAAACGAGGAGAAATGACCCCCTCCCTAAAATTTCGGCGAAGGCGCCGAAAATTTTGAAGTTTTTAAAAATTTTAATTTTAGTTTTTTTAGTGTTTTTATGTTTATTTAAATTGATATGAATCTAATTATTGATTAAAAATAAGTAAAAAAGTTAAAATAACGTTAATACTCATCTAAAAATAACATAATTTTAATTAAAATATAAAACTAAAAAATTAAAAATTACCTATTTGTTGAAAAGAGTAACCATATTACAATTTAAATATAAGTTTAAGATAGTTTAAGAAGTTAATAAAACAATAAATACTTATATTACAATGATTTTATTAATATTTTTTAAAATTTTAACAAAAAAAATAAAAATATTTTCAATTTTATAATTAGTATTCAGTCAGTATTTATATAAAAATAACATTAAAAATAAAAATATATATCTATAAACTATAAACATTAAGCATTATTTAAAAAATTAATTATTTTAAAAGTTAAAAATTACTAAAATAATAAAAAACTCATAGTGTATCATTAATGCTTTTATGAACTATTTTTAAGTATTAAATACATTATTATTTTATTTTTTGTTAAAATTTGTTTTTATTAATTTTTAATATTTTTTTTTTAAATATTTATTTTTTGTTAAAATTTAAGTTTTTTTTTAATTTTTAAGTTTTTTTTTGTATTTTTGGAAATTTTACCTATTTTCATGGGAATTTATATRGGAACTTGTGGGAACTTTATCGTATTTTACATGGGAATATTCGGGAATTTAAGGGAATATTAGGGAATTTTCTCTTGACCCCCTTCTTTTTTTTTTGATTTTTGAAAAAATTGCCGTTTAAAAATGCAATAAAAATCTTACCCCACCCAATACCCCCCCAAGATTTTTCGAGAATTTTGTAAATTTTACCCCGGTCTACCCCCCTAAAATCCAAAACCTTGCTTAACTCTGATATATATATATAATATTATTTATGCTTAATTTATTTTAATATCTAAAAATATCTTAATAATTATTTTATATACTTCTAATCAAATTTTTCATAACTCTTAATGTTTTGAATCAGTGATCGATAATTATCTCTAATTGTGACTCTAATTCTAATGKGTATTGTATTAAATATACATGTATTGTATAACAACCTAATGCTCACATATTTTAAACTTCTAGATATAAAGTAGAAATGAAGTTTGCAAGCCTACGGTCAAAGGTTACGTTAGCTTTATAAGCACCGGGAGTAGAAAAATCTACAATATTATAGAAAACAAAATGATGAGTGAATAAAATAACTTTATTCTAAATACAATATACAATAATTTTGTCTTTTTGTATTTATTTTTTGTAGTATAAAAATGATAACAAAAAAAGTTATAAGACTGTACTCATAGAGTCATAATTAGAGTTTATAAATATACAAACAGATAAAATTGAATTTACATTAGATTTGAAATATATAATTAATAATTGTGTGCTAAATAATATTATAAAAATAATATGCAAAACAATTTGCATATATAGCAGGCAGATAATTTGTATGATTTCTATAATAAATAGCATTCAATACTCCCTTATAAGTTATAGCAGAGATTTTATACACATTTGTGAACACAGAATAATAAACACAATATGATTGATAAGAATTATAATCAGAGAACAGAGAGAGAGAGAGAGAGAGAGAGAGAGAGAGAGAGAGAGAGAGAGAGAGAGAGAGAGAGAAGTAAAATAAAATGCAATATTAATATATTAAGGAATAATAATTCAATAAAATTGGGGCATCTGTTGTATCAGTGATGCAGAATAGTGTGTGTAATATAAAAATAATAGAAAAACAGTCGGAAAGATAGAGGGAGTGATGGCATCGGTAGTGAACAGTAGTCGCTCTCATTTGTAAAGCTATCAACTCTTTGAAAAGGAAGATAAAGAAAGAGAAAAAACAAAAGGAAGACTTGAAGACAGAAATTGTTATATAAGTTTGTGATCCATTGCTTCGGAAACAACATATTACTTATAAAGCCCTCACTTACATGACTCGGATTTGCAGCCAATATCTGAAATACAGAGACGACAGCTGAGAGAGAGAGAGAGAGAGAGAGAGAGAGAGAGAGGACACACAATATATGATTGACTCTCTTCTTATTTTTCTTTTTTTGTCTATCTTTATCATTGCCAGAGATATTGATTTTGCTATATTTTTAAACAACAAAAGCTCAAAACCCGAACAAATAATAAGAAATAAAATATTATTATTCATTTGATTTGTTTTTTTGTTTTCATCAAAAATCTAAAAACTTATAAATATTTTTTTATTTTGTATTCTTTTCTCATTTTTTGTTTGTTTTATATACTGTATATCAAAAATAATCTAAAACATGATTATAGTTTGAGTTTGATATATACAAATAGGTATAATATAATCATAGTATTGAAAAACTTATTTATCAAACTATATAAACACTATGTTTCTAAACAAAAAATTTCTCAAACTTTTTAAACATTATATTTTTACAGTATATATTGAAACTCATTTATCATTAAATACATTTACTTTATTTTCTCCATTATTACTATTGTATTGCATTTTTGGTGACATTATTAGCTATAGAGATGTGACATTTTAAATCTGTATATAACATTAGATATACTATACAGTATATATAGTGTATGTTATGTATGGGCTTATGGACATCAATAGGTATGAGCAAAAAAACTAATAATGGTGAGTCCATAAAAATATATAGCAGTCATCAAATAAAGTTTCATAAATTTCCATTAGTGTAGTAGTAGTAGTAGTTGTTGTTGTTGTAGTTGTTTTTGTTGTTGTGGATCACATTTTTTAATAAAGTTTAGACCAAACAATGACATTGTATTGTAAGTGACTTTTATGATGTGCCAAAATCTTCGACATTACAATAGATTTTGATTTTTTTCTTTATCGCAGAAAATACAAGATTTAAAAGTTTAATTTATTTTCAATTGATATATTTAATAGCTTGTAGTGTCTGTCCAAAGTAGTGGTCTGAGTCTTATTGTGGTTTAGCGATAACATATAAAGTGCCCCATTGTGTACAGCATTATAAAGACAACTTTTATTGATTATATAAAATTTACTGAATTTTTGTTCAAATAAAAAAATACTTTTATAATAATATAAAAATCATTTGATAATTTTATAAAAATTAGATCATTTTTATTTATTTATTTATTTTCAAGYAACTCTTTCATATATATTTGTATTAAAATAATTTATAAAACTAATTAAATTATATTAAACACAAAAATATTAATTATTAATGATAATTGTATTGATATATTTGAAACATTTTTGTCAAAATACTTAAATCTATTACTTGTGTTATTTGCTTCTCATACACGTATGAATGCACTAATGGTAAGATAATTTATAATCATTAATATAATATTTAATAAAATTATATAAAACTATGATATATAATAGTATACTGTAGTTACTTTACATTTACATTTAAATTTTCTAAAATATATTTTATTTAAAATTATGATTTAAGCACAATTTTACATAGATCATTTTTAAAAATTATTTTTTACATTTTTAAAATAAATAATTTATCAAAATTAATACATTTCTATTAATTTTATAAATATATTTATAATATTATTATTTGTTATTTTGAAAAGTAAATGTTATTTATAATCAATTTCAAGTGACTCGTAATCAAACAGTACTGATAGCACACAAACTGAGTACATGTATCGTATATACTGTATTAGTATATAAATTAAATGAATCAACAAATTAACAACAATTATCATATAAAAAATGTATTTAAWTTATGTCTCATTTGTGGCACTTATTACCACATTATATGTGRTAAATGCTTTAAAAACTAATCGATTGGATTGTGTCATAACAAGTAAATAAATTATTTGTTTGATTTAAAACTAATTTTAAATGAATTGTATTTATTTTTAAAAAAATTAAAATAATATTAAATTTAAATTGTTTGTGTATTTTAGATAAAAAGTTTAGTGAAAATCAATGTCTGGAAAGAGATTGTATATATGATGCAAATCCGGAAAGTCCTGACATTCCGTACTGTTATTTCAATGTCAATAAAATTGGTTATAAAGTGAATGAAACTTCTGTCAAGACATCGGATACCGGTTTAGAAGCTTTGATTAAACTCAAAGACACAGCAAAAGACATAAAATTTGTTAAACAATTTGATACTTTAAAAGTTGAGGTCAAATATTTAACTAAAAATATTGTCAGATTTAAAATATACGATCCAAACAATAAACGATATGAAGTTCCCATTCAATCCGAGTTTCCTTTACTTAAGAATCCACCCAAACCTCCAAAAATTRATGATTTAAAATATAGATTTAACTTAAGTAAAAATAATTTTGATTTTACTATTGAAAGGAAAAGTACTGCAACTAAAATGTATGTAAATAAATGTTTATAAAATACTATAAATATGTACAAAAAAATCACAACAAATTCACTTTTTAATAGTTTTGACACAACTATTGGTGGACTTATATTTAGCGATCAATTTATACAAATAGCTAGTTATTTACCGTCAAATAATGTCTATGGTTTGGGTGAGAATACTCACCAATCATTTAGACATAACCTAAACTACAAGACTTGGCCCATATTTACCAAAGATTCACCTCCTGATGACGTAATCGTATAATTAGATTATTATCATTAGTAATATCTATCTATAAATTTGGTATCAATTTATTGTATATTTGATACTCAGAATGAGGTCAATAACTACGGTCAGCACCCGTTTTATACAGTATTAGAAACTAATGGCAAATCACACGGAGTCTTATTGCTTAATAGCAATGCGATGGGTATTGTATTAAATTAAATATTAACAGTAAATTAGTGATAGTGTTAAGTAATTTAAAACAATTTAAATAATATACATGTAATATAAAATATTGACAACAGAGTACACATTGATGCCACGGCCGGCCATATCGTTCAAAACAATTGGCGGTATTCTTGACTTCTTTGTCTTTGTTGGCGATAATCCCGAACACGTCATACAGTTGTATACATCACTGATTGGCCGCACATTTATGCCGGCTTTTTGGGCATTGGGTTTCCAACAAAGCAAATATGGTTATCATAATACCAGTCATGTCAAGGCTGTCGTTGACAGACAAATCAAACATAATATTCCTTATGTAAAAATAATTATAATATTATATGATATTAACATTTTGTATATTTCATAATAATAATAATAATGACAATAATTTATGATTAATGCATAGGACGTACAATTTATTGATAGCGACTATAAGTATTGGTCACGTGACTTTACAATAGATCCCAATTATTTTGCAGATCTACCAAAACTTATAGACGACACTCAATCCCAATATAACCTTCACTGGAYACCAATCATTGATCCGGGCATTCAGGGAAATGCATCCAATTATGATATATTTACAAATGGCAATAACCAAAATGTGTTCATCAAATGGCCAGACAGTGTGCCAATGAAAGATAGACATAATCCAGAACAGGTAGACATAACCCATAATAATATATACGGTCGGGTTTGGCCCAATGGTCCGGTAGCCTTTCCCGACTTCTTCAAAAATGCTACCCAAATCTGGTGGCAAAATAATTTTAAACACTTGTATTCAATTGGATGGAAATTTAATGGACTTTGGATTGTAAGATATTATTTGAATTAAATATTATGATATATTTTATTTATAATAAACTACTGTAATAGGATATGAATGAACCGGTCAATTTTTGGACGGGTAAAGGATATAATCTACAGTGTCCTATCAATAATTATGATAATCCTCCTATTAATATAAGTATGATTTTTWWAAAAATTATATTAATTATGTTTTTAATTTATCTAAATTTGACTAATTATTTATGTAAAATAGAGGCGCTTTGGGTTAATAATTTCGATCAATTAAGTAGAGGTACTCTGTGTATGATTGGTGTGGAGGGAGAGTCGGGTCAATACAAACACTATGACGTCCACTCACTCTATGGCTTGACTATGGCTGTGCCAACTCAAAAGTATTATTATTATAATAAAATAATTGAAAATGATTTTTGATATTTATTTGACATTTGACCCAATTTTAAAAATTTATATTTAAGAGCATTACAAGTAATCACTGGTAAAAGAGGTTATGTGTTATCGCGATCGACATTTGTATCGTCGGGTCGCTATACAGGTCACTGGTTAGGGGATAACCATAGTCTATGGCCTCATATGAAAGACTCGATAATAGGAATATTGGAATTCAATCTCTTTGGTATACCTTATGTACGAATTTATAATTTATTTTAAATATTAGTTATATTAATATAAAAACATATAATAAATATTATATACATTAGATCGGCGCCGATATCTGTGGTTTCTTTGGCAAACCCACACCAGAACTATGTCTTCGATGGCAACAATTGGGAGCTTTCTATCCATTTAGTCGTAACCATCACGAGAACGGTCAGGAGTTAGAACAGGATCCGGCCGTTTGGGCTGAAAGAGGAAACCCTGAAGTGACAGAAGCGGCCAAAAATGCACTTTATTTGAGATATTCATTACTTCCCTATTTATATACTCTTTTCTTTAAAGCCCATGTCTTTGGCAATACAGTTGTCAGACCACTATTTCATGAATATCCCACAGATATACAAACATATAGTATTGATGAACAGTTTATGTGGGGATCGGCTATACTTATATCTCCTTTTCTTTATGAGGTATATTAGAACTTAAAGCATAAATTGATATAAAAATTATTATTATCTTTATTTTATTTTTTAAATATAAGAAACAAAAAGAAGTGAAAGCTTACATTCCTTCAGATGTTTGGTACGAACCGAGCGGTGATTTTGTTAAGCTTTTCCCAAACACCGGTCGCGTAGCACTCGCCGACTCATCACTTCATCCGCCCATCCATTTCAGGGGTGGATCCATAATACCAGTTGCTTATAAACGTGCGGTCAATACTCAAGAGTTGCGTCAAAAACCAATTCAATTGGAAGTTTATCCCAAAGACCGTCGAGCCGTCGGTGATTTGTTTTGGGACGACGGAGAGTCTATCAATACTATTGAAGATAATCGATACAATTTGTATAGATTTGAATTATATCCTAACTGTTCACTTGAGATTCATAATCAAAAACATGGATATCACTCATCAACTCCTCATATAATCAACAAAATTTTTGTGGCAAACACTAAAAAGACTAAAATAAGTGCAACAATTGATGACAAAATTATCGATAATATTATGATTTACAACCACTATATAGTGTTTCTCGTAAACATTGACTTGAATTCAGGCAAACTGAACCAAAAGTGGACAATCAGTTGGAAAAGCATTACTGATAACACATGTAATTTGAATTAATTTTCAAAACTACGATAATAATACTAAATTCATTCAATAATAAGCTTAAATATGCCCGTATAATACTGTATAATTTTATATTATATTACAATACACGTAATAATATTTTTTATAAGTATTTATTTGCATAATATAGTATATTAATATTTAATAATATAAATATGAATAATGCATAAGTTGTGTTCATGTATTATTGTTATAATTTAAAAATTTTCTATTATAATTGAAATTATATAATCGAGAATTTATATTTATAATGGGTTTTGATTTGTTGTTTATAAGATACGTATTTTTAAAATTATATTCAAAAATAAAAATAACAATTGATATAAATGTTCCGATAAAATATGGACCCAGGGCAGGTTTGATTTTGACAGTGTATGTCCAATAATGTTGAATATGCTTTCGGGACATAAACTCCCTTTTATTGTCATCAAAATAATGAGAAGCAACTATCATAATATCATGAGTCCATTTAAAATACAATCCGGTTTCCAATATRTCGTACAATCTTTAATAAAATAAAATTATAATTTATTATTAACATAACTATCATATAAATCATATTTAACTGATATTACATATCATTTAGTTTGATGACTACTATAGGATCCAAATTATTCCCGTAAACATAGCCCATGTAATGATCAAATTGACTCACWCTTGCTATATGTGTCAGTGCACTGTCCCTTTCGCTTATTGAGGTCTCAATCATTTTTGCATTTTCCTCGTAAGCTATTAACACATGTGTCTTATTATACATGATTTGTTCCCTTAAGTCATATTTAGCCTCAAATATTTTGCTGTGATCTGAAAGTATCTTTTTTGGTGTATTATTTAAACCTAACTCTAAATATTTTAATTCAATTTTATTTCCAGATTTCTAAATATTAAAAAAATATTCTTAAATAATAATTATATTTATTACTGTATTTAAGATAATAAATAAAATTTACATTATATAGCGATATACGTTCCTCACTGTAATGCAAAATAGGTATTAAATCATATTTAATTAAATCGTTAATTGAATCAATTGTTGTATAAATTTGTCTCATTGTTGAGTGAAGTATTGCAGATGAAGTCATTTGTAATATAATTAGCATAATTAATATGAATGTACCATAACTTGAAAATAGTTTATTTGTCAATTTTTTTGCTATATATCATATGTTWAAAAATATTTTATTAAATTATTTACATTATAATAATTTAAGTATATATTATACTTCCAAAAAATGATGAACTTAATAGATACCATTGTTGATATCCCATACAATTTAAAAACTTGATTAAATTTTTATATTTATCTTGATTAGTATATATGATTGTAAATAATATTGGAATAATAATAAATGTAAACAATAATAATATCCAAAACTATTTTATAAATTATTTTAGATGAAATATTATACGTTATAAAAATAGATTCAAAAAGTAATTTTTAAATATTATAGTACAGTATACTACTGTAAGTCGTTTTAATAATATTYAAATATAAAATCACCAAGCTCATAAAGCTAAATCCATCTAAATTTATTAAAAAAATCTTTTCATAAAAACTAAATTAAATAAACAAAATGAATTTTTATTAATAACATTAAATAATTATTAAAGTAGTATTTAAAATATTATAATTTTAATTAAAATATCTTAGTACAAAATTTTTTAATTAGTTTAAATGAGATGTTTTGGATATTATAAATTAACTAATATCATACATATTATTTTAAATGAATTTTGTATAATAACTTTCTGTTAAATTAACATTTATAGTTTTTTTAAAATTTAACTTAGCCTTTAAAAATTGGTGATTTTAAATTTGTTAGATAAAAAAAATACTGTACCAATTTGTCATATATATGAAAAATACCAAAATAATCATTATTAATTACTGGRTAATATGAACCTAATATAGTGATTAATGGCAAAACAATTAATAAAACAGTGGGTCTACTAAATAATGCAGTTGTTTCAGTAATTGTTGAATCCATTAATAATAGATCCGTTTCCTGTAATACTCATAAGATTACATAAAGTTATTGACAATAATAACTATTAATTAAATAAGATATAATACATTGTTATAAAGTGCAGTAAAATATGGTCCTATGTGTTCGCCATTGATTTTTATTGTATTATTTAAATCGACAAATTTGGAAATTGCCCTTTTATAATAAATAATAAAATTTTAGTAATAAATCTATACTTATTTTCTTATTATATATTTAAATACATATAATGTGACCGTCGGACCAGTTCTCGGGCTACAAATAAAAACGGAGAACAAAGAGGTGCTATGACTCCATTAGACTAATTGATTAATAAATTACAAAAACAAAATTTAACATAAAATATATATATATATATATATTAAATATTACCGCATCATTATGAGTAAATGTGAAATTACCCAATGATGTGAAATTATATCCAAAATTGATGGGTAATTGTTTAAGATAATCGCCAAAATCACATTCACAATTAACAGTAACTTCAAACATTTTATATCAATTAAGTAATTTTAAAATTATTATACTAATACTTTATTTTAACAATATCTAGATATTGTATATTTTATTAGTGAATAATATTTTAGTAAATGTAATATTTTTAATAATGTTAAATTGTAATTTATAATATTAATAGTTCACAATCTTTAAAAACCACATACAAAAAAACAGTTTTAATATGTTAAATTTATTTTTGTATGTAAAGATTTAATAATCTATTTATTATTATTTAATTATTATGTAAAACAATAAATKAATTATTTCAAAATTATTACAATGTTATTGAATTATTACAATTAAAAATTCAATATTGTCATAGCAATTTAGTTATTATTGAGAATTATAAAAGTAATTATGCTATAATAATTATTATCTTATTTATTACTAACTATAATATCAAGGTTAATTTTTTTAAATATGTATTAATATATAAATTATAAATAGTTTTAAAAGTAAAAGTAAAATTAGTAAAAGAATAATAATTATTATATTTTAAAAAATTAAATATTGAAATATTCAGATAAATTTTGGTTATTATTTATAATACTGTAGTAAGTTACTACTAGTAACTAATTTTTCAAAAATAAAAAACATTCTTGAATAAACATAATATAATGTATATATAAATTTAATTGCTATATATTTATCATATTTGATTTATTTTGAATTATAATTTATTTTTATTGATTTTTAAGACATACAAGTTTTTCCAACACTAAACTAATAATTGATAGACAACTGCCAATAAAATAAGGTCCCAGTGCTGGTCGTATCTCAACTTTAAGTATAACTTTAACTGTATTTACAAATCTGTAGTGGACAGGGGTTTAGTCGAGTCCACTTCAAGGAACTATAGCTCAAATTGATGAACTTCTGGTACTCGGGGTATCTTCGGAAAATATATCCGGTCTATAGATATCCTTATTCTTAGAAATATAGATCTCTAGGCTTCTCTATGTCGGTTGAATCGATTAGACTACTATTACAACACTCATAATCACTGTTACACTCTTAATAAACACATGTTTTCGTATATTCATAACTTATTTACTAATTCAATGATATACTTAAATTCATTGATAATTAGATTAAATACATGTATAATTAAAATATAAAATAAATGATATTATAATTTATGACTTTTCAATAGCACACCCTTTTAACACTCGGATCTTAACATGACTTCTCTCTACGACAGCATAGCACACACTGCTAACTACTCTGCATACTCACAACTGCACACTCTTTCCCTCTTTTTCACCCCCTTTTATAGTCATATCATATTAACATAGATTATTGATTAAACATAAGATTATTGATAAGTTGAGAATAATATGAAATAATAATTATAAATCTTAGAAAATAATAATATTGAATATCTATTAGTAATAAATGTTAAAATATGAAATTGAATAGATTTTATGGCCTTATATCATATAAATCGGGTTATCCATTACAAATCTTTGATCACTTTTCCCATTAGGCGTTTGTTTTTCAACTGATACAAACTTGTCGTGAATTCCCGTTTCTATTACATCATATAGACTACGAAAATAAGATTTTAAAATAAAACAAATGCATTATTATTATTATATATATATATTATTAAAAATGTTTGCCACATCTTTATTTAAGTATTTGTTATAAACATATCCAATAAGATTATAGATATAGTTATTAGCGCTTATATGAGATAATTTCTATCTTAATATTGATCTCTCGATAAGCTTTGAGTGACTAATAGATGTAACAAAAAAGTGATTTTTATTTTGTAAAATCATTTCTTGTAATATCGTTTTGGCGGCAATCAGTTGGACCTCATCTGTCACTATGTTTTTGTCAGTATTTGGACTAACATTTTCTCCAAATGATTCCCARATATCTATTATTAATAATAATATTACAAAGTTATTGAATAAACTTTTATAATTTAAAATTTATTTATCTATACATTAATTAAATGTAAACTTTAATATAAATAATGAATTAATGGCTTCAAATTATTTTTTTKACTTAAATCGTCTATTGAATCAATAATAGTGAATAATTGTTGATAGTATTGATGATGACATGCATTTAGTGTTGGCAAAAAAGAGAAATTTATAAAATAATAGAGAAATTTCTAGGAAGTTTCTAAAAGAAATTWCTATCTATGGGATCCSCATGTTAATTTTGTTTTTCTCGATATATGTTATTATGTAACAATACATTGTTTTTACAAGTAATAATTAAATATTAGTATTGATATTTTAAYTATCAATTAAAGTAAAAATTAATTTATTTAATTATCTTAAATTTATATATATATATAATAAAATGATTATTAAAATTTTASAAAACTGATTATTATTAAATAATTATAATTATTTTACATATAGGTATCGCATTTTGTATAGTAGTGTATACAGTAGTGTGTAGTAGACATGTAGTACTGTATAATGTTATATGAATAGTAGTATTATTTATATATTATTACAATAGCTATAGATATGGGRATCCCATAGTATAACAATAAAGTTAAATTTCTATAGAAATTTATTCCTGAGAAATTTTCTAGAAACTTTCTATTATCCCATCTCTACAWRCATTTAATCAATATTAATGATCTTATTATATAAGCCATGTGTAAGAGTGCATAAGTTTTCTTATGTAAACCATTTAATTTATCTATTATTGATTAAACAAACATTAGTATTATTATTATTATTATTTATAACAATACTAATTTTTTATTTTAAAAATTATTATAACTTTGATATATAGTTCCTAAATATGTTGTGGAAATCATTTTCCAGATAACCTGAGAATAGCTATCAAAAAACATGATTAAGTCATGCATTTGATAACAACTAAAATATATTAATCTTATTCKTATTATTGAGTTATTGACAAAAATGTTATTAATATTAAAGACCATATCTAAAGAATATTAATATATACAGTAAAGTAAATATCTAAAACCGTTAATTAAAATATAGAAATTATTAAACATTAACAGGATATTAAAATAACATACATAAAAATCAAATATACGAAAAGTACTTATATAACTATCATATTTTATAGAGATAAATGGTTGCAATGATTGTAATCAATAAATTGTACTAGGGCATATTTAATGTAAATTTATAAATAAAGTTTTATGTGATCTTTGTTTAATATTTAAAATAATAAACCTAATGCATYAAGTTTTGTACTTTGGATATTTAATTAAATTATAACCAATTAAATATTTCTGTATAAATTATAGTTAATTTATATATTAAAATGTAAAATTACATATCATATTATACTAATAGAACTGTTGGTTGTAAAACAATTATAAATACAGTTCTAATCAAGCATTAAAAATAGAAATAAATTTGTAAATTTTTTTTATAAATTTATTTTTTTCATAYATTTGCTATATATTTGCAATATTATAATTATAAAGCATTTATTTTATTACACAATAAATGAATATAATTATGTATATAAAATAGTATGAAAACGCTATTTTTATAATGCATTACATAACACCTGTTGTAATTAAATTTGCCAAAGATTTACAAATTGATTGATTATAATTGTTATTAATGTATAATCATTTGTAATTTGTAGTAATATATTATACAATATACTTATATATATTATAAATTAATACTGTACTACAAACTAGAGGTCGGAACCGAAGCATATTTTAGAAAACCGAATCGAATCGGAACCGAACCGTAGTTACGTCACATACTCTAAAAAATATCTCATTTTATTTTTATATAAAATATAGAGTCGAATAATTAGAATAAGCATAAATTAATTTAGTAATAATAATTAGGTTTACCGTAATAATAATAATTTATATAATAACTATGATAATTATAATATAAAATATTTTTAATAACAAAAACACTTACCGTCTTTGCGCACACGGTTTTCCATTGGCAGGTAATGCGATAAGTGGTAAGTTTGGTGATAATTGTTTCCCCTGGAGTTTGCTTGATTTGGAGCACAAAAAATCCCAGTCAAGTTAWAAGTTTTTATTATGTATCAAATTCATGCCACTCATGATTTTTTCTCATTATTTAATTAATTAATTAATTATTTATTTGATTATTAATTTTACAGTATTGATCGATCCTAGAATATTAAATTATTTATTTATTGATTGATCGATCATATATTTAATTAATTATAACTAAATTTAGATTATTTAAATTATAATAATAGTGTAGTTACCAGTTATCACATTTACTGCCATTCGGTTATTTTAGTTATCGCATTATCTATTATTAATTATTTGTGGCAGGTTTAGTGATAATTAGTTGCATATCATTTTGAAACTTTTAATTAATTTTAAAAATTGATGTCAAGTTATTTGGTTAAAAACGGTAAATAGAAAGCGGTTTTTACAACTGAAACCATCACGAAAACAGAACCGTTTTGAAAGCCGGAACCGAAATTTAGGAACCAAACCGAAACCGTTTAGGTTTCGATTTCTACTACAAACTACTAGTATTTCATAAAAATTAAAATATTCAGTAAATTTAAATTATGGGTAATTGTAAAAACTTTTATTCTTTTATTTTCATTTTATTTTTAATGATAAATATCTAAAACTAAAATACTGATATAGCATTTAAGTATATAAATATTAAATAAAAATATTAACAAACGTTTTATATATATTAAAATATAATTTCAATTAAAGATATTACAAAAATTGGCTTTTAGTTAGTGATTAACAGAAAAATAAATAATAATAGTTAATATAATTAAGATAACAACAAGTATAACAACAATCCAAAGTCGTTTTTTGCGGGCCTTCATCTGAGATCAATAAAAAAATTAAAAWATAAATTAATTTCAATAATACAAACAATTGGTTTTAGGATTTCTTACGGCATAATCGGCAGCAATCTGTAACTGTTGATTGCCGTTAACAATATTGATATGTGTGTCATCAATACTACCCTCAATGGTTGTAATAATGTCACCCTGGTCGTGTACCATACGGGCCAAATCAGTGAATATTTGGTTCACATCTACTATGTCTGCYTCTAGACGTCTAAACGTTTCATTTTGTTGTTCAGCGATAGCCAAGCGATCTCTTTYCTCTTGAAGATCAGTCATCTGTAACTGTGATTGTGTCTGTGTCTGACCCATAGGGTGTTCATCTTTAAATGAAAGGGTAGTCGACTCGAAATTAAAGTCGTCGTTACCATAATTTTTGTCCTATTATTATACATTAAATTTTTATTAATTTATTAATATATTTACCGATATTTTAATAAAATAATTAAATATGGATTCACTTGATTAGTATTGATATCATGTTTTGGTTGTTTTGGAGTAAATTCTTTAACTTTTTGTGCGGCAATTCTTTGAATTTCTTGAAATTTGTTTAATATAATCAAAAAGTCACTCCTGATCTTCTCACACATCAATTTATTATTTCTCTTAAAAAAATATTAATAAATATATTGAAAATTWAAAAAAATATATGTATTTTACACTTTTATTTAATATTAAATGATTAACATATTTGTAAAATACATTTTGTGTGGCATCGGTTGAAACTCCGAGACGAGTCAACTCTTGTAGATTACTATTGCATTGTTTGGCCAAATCGTTAGTCTGATGTTGAAGTGTTTGTCTATATATTATATAAATTATATTAAATATATTCAAGTTATTTGAAAATTATTGTTTAACACATTTTAATACAAACAATTGTCTTCGAAATTCTATTGTATCCAATTCACAGCCTAACTGTTGGACCAATTTTTGCAAAGTATTAACTAAATAATAGATTATTTAATCAACTAATTAATTAAAAAATAATAATTACAATATATATAACACTTTACATTATCAATTGATTTTTTAAAAAAATACATGTTTGTCATCAATTAMTGAATATAATATAAARTAGTGAATTAATACATTTATTTAATGAAAATTATATCAAGGTTTTAATAATAAAATACAGTACTGCCGTAATTGAAACAAAACAAAATTGAAATAAACGATTTGAAAAAAACAATATAAATAGATAATTAAATTAAATTTTATCAGCTATTTAAATAACATTCAAATAATTTTTTAAAAAATATTACAGCAGCTATACTGAAATAATAATTTTGTAATGTTAAAAATTTTTAATAATATAATCAATAGATGGAGTGCTTATAGTATTTTAAATACAGTACATAAATTATTTTGTACAAAATACTATTACGTTATATTAATAAACTATAACTACAAATGTAAATTGTTAATTAAATTTAATACACTCTATGTTATAGTGTGTATAATATTGAATAAAATATATAATACACTATTTATAAGATATAATATACAAATAGACATTTAATTAATTTATTATTTCTCGATAGTAACTATGGGTCGACATTATTGATAATAATTGATGACTAACTTTGTTGACATAACTTATTTGTAGTTTTTTTTTGTTAAATTTATGCATTTTTTTATTTTTATGTAAAATAATTATTTAAAAATAAATGTAAAAATTATATTTTAGAATAACATTATTATTATAAATCTAAACAAATATACTTATTATGAAAAATATCAATTAAACTAAATTTAATTAMATATAATTGTATACAAAAATATGTTTTTTACCATTTGTTGAGATTTGTTGGATATTAGCGATCAATAAGTTTGATAAACTCGTAAAATTATAACTCATTTTTTCAAATTGTATGATATATTAAATTCCCAATTGTTTATAATAATAAAAATTTAATATTAGGCTTAAATGACTATTAATAGTACAGTATWTATAAAAACAATGTATAAATTAATAGATTGTATTGTTGTTTATATTAGGATAGTTGTCATACACTGGCAATGAATGACATGCGATATTGTAATCATTAGACAAACAATTTGTTAGTACTTTAATATATTTTACACTAAATTATTTAAACTACTAATTTCGCAATATTTTTTAAATATACAAATAGTTATAAATAATTTATTATTCATATAATCCACAAAATATCATATATTAATTTTTAAACAATATATTTAAATTGAAAATAATAATTAAACACAACATCCAAACATTAAACTCAATGTAGGCTTAACTGTATAAATGTAATGAATAGGCAAACAATAATTTAATACTAAAATCAGTAAACTGTAGGATTGAGAAACTGTACTCAAAAAATGTGTGTAAATTAAAACAAATATTTTACTCAAACATAACAGAGAAAGTATAGTACAGTACATATGTGTTATATATACTGTATATTAATATACAACTAAAACATATTTATTTACTGTACTGTAAAGTGTATAAAAATATAAAAGAAAATAAAATTTATAATTTAATGTCTATTCATTGCCTGTCTATTTAAAACTCATACAAATTTATTTGATAGTTAATGATATGTGTAACTAATATTAAAAGGTCTTCGTATTCAAACAATATATATCTTAAAATAAAAAAGTTATGTTAATTTTAATTTTACAAAATAGTCTTTTGTATGCATTAGTAGTGTACATACAGTACAAACAGTGTATATAGTAATGCAAATTATTATTAATTATTAATAATACCTTATAATTAGGTTTAGGTTGAGAGACAAACACCAGAGAGAGGTTTAAACTGCGGCGCCGGTGACCACAACAGCGATGCTTTAATTTCAATTATATGGTCAACAATACATTAGATTTAAAAGTGACCAAGGACAATTTTATAGATAATTTTAAACTAAATAAGACTGTAATTGGTCATTTTTTAATTAATTTCATTATTGGGCAGATAATTGTAGTCGATTATCATTTTTACAATTTTTTAACAGTCGACTGTATATTATATAACTAATCATACAATTAATTAAAAAATGATTAATTACAATCTTATTTAGTTTAAAATTATCTACAACATTGCCCTTGGTCATTTTTAAATCCATTGTATTGTAGACCAGATAATTGAAATTAAAAGCATCGCCTCTGTAGTCGCCGGCGCCGCTGTTTAAGACTCTATCCAAATACCAGATTAGGTAACAATACATTTAACCAATACATGTCTAATCATAATTTACTGTCAATACAAAACACTATATTTTATAAAATTTATATTTTTATAACTTTTTTTATTTTAATAGATATGTATCTAACTGTAGGACCTTTTTATATGAGTTCCACATATTATAATCTAATACATTAAATAATTACAATAATAAATATGATATAATTTTATTTAAACAATTGGGAAACAAGTTTAACTCACTATATAACAAATTAATGCCCAAAATATTAAAACCTTTTTATATTAAGTAACTTATTTGAACATTTAATAATTTTTTATAAAATATATATTATATATTATATATTAATATATATAAAGGACAGTAAGCGACCCCCATTACCGACCCCCGCATAGGAGTGGCTTTACGTGTGTATTAATATATATAAAAGACAGTTTACGACACTCATTAACGACACCCACATAGGAGTAGATTTGTGTGTATATAGCACTAGCACTGTGTGTGTGACTGTGAACTACAGTAAGCTATACAATACATCTACAGTACATGTATTAACATAACACACTTAAACACATTATAAACATTGATATCATATGTGAGACATACAGTAGGCAACACTTTTACAGAGTCTTAAATAGTGGCGGCGGAGATGCTATTAATTACAATTATATGGTCAACAATACATTGAATTAAAAAGTGACCAAGGACAATGTTGTAGATGATTTTAAACTAAATAAAATTGTAATTGGTCATTTTTAAATTAATTGTATGATTTGCCAGATAAATGCAGTCGACTATCATTTATAAATTTTTAAACAGTCGACTGTAAATTATTTAGCATATAATACAATTAATTAAAAAATGACCAATTACAATTTTATTTATTTTAAATTTATCTACAACATTGCCCTTGGTCACTTATTAATTCAACGTATTGTTAACCAGATAATTGTAATTAATAGCATCGCCGCCGACGCTGTTTAAGATTATCTGACACTTTCACAAAGTTTTCATAACATTTCAAAACTAATATTTCAAATTATTTGTCGCTATTGTCTCAATAAATACTATCCTTGAATTAAAATATATTTATAATAAAAATTTTGATTTAATTTAATTAAAACGGGCCGTAATTACGGGCTTTAAAGTCTTGTTATCTTTAATGGAAAGTATCATTTTTAAAGAGTATATACAATAAATTTTATATGAAATACTGTTTAACAAATAAACATTCAAATGATAATCAATTTTAAAAGTAAAAAATCTTTATTAAGAAAGTGAAGAATTAGTGATACAACTGTTTGTAGTTTTGATGAATGAGTCGGTTTGAAGAAGTTTGAAGACATAAATTTATATCAAATATATACCAAATAAATAGATAATTAAATGTTTAATAAATTTTAAAATACAGTATCACTTTAATATAATATTAATATATTTAAGCGTATTATTACAGTATTATTATAATTATCAGTAATTAATAATTACTGATTATTATCATTTAGAATCTATGATTAGAATTAAGATCTATGTTATAATATATGTATAATAAACTTATTAAGTTTGTTATCTAATTATATTATAAGTTATTATAATTTATAACATATACTTTTATAGGTTTGTATAATTGTTATATATTATCAATCATTGGTCACGCGCTTAGCCATGAAGCACGAGTCGCGTGTAATTATCAATCGTCATAACAAATGTTTATTTGTTTTCACGTGTTTTAAAACCATTTATTTAAACCACAAAAGATTCGCTTTTTTAGAGCAACGGTTGAATATCTTTGAGTTATCTTTTCCACCAAAAAAAAACTAAACACTTATTCAATAGTAGTATCAACTAAAAGACAATGTCGACTACAATGTATCTTTTGATGGCAAGTCTTATAGTAGTTATGCTGACAATTATGATGAGACCATTGAACGCCGAAAACTCACCGCAAAGAATGTTTGACTTCAATCGGTTGAATCCTGAAAATTGTGATTTCAATGTTACTATATTTGCCACTAAAACCACAACTTGTACACGACAGAGATGGTCAACTGATGATAACAATACTGCCAAACATTCATCAATCAGATGCTGTCGCGATGGTGAAAGGATATGCATTGGAGTTAAGAAAGTGAAGTATTTAATTGCTATTGATTTGCAAAATAAAACTAACGGCAAACTGTCCACTTGTTTTAGGCCATCGAAGGATGCGATATTCACGACAATGACTATGTCTCTACCATCCAGTATGAAGTGAATCGGATTATTCAAACGGGAAGCGATTGCGGAGGCGGTAAATATGACAATTGTTACAAAGAGGTGACACCCATTCAAACAATCAATGGTTGCGAAGAGTATCAACAATGCAACGCCAAAGCATTGATTGAAAACCCGAAGACTCGCAAACCAAAGAAACAAAGAAAGTCTAGTCTGACGTGGCTTTGGATACTCCTTGTGATTGTCTTAATAATACTACTGATCGCTGCCTTGACTTTCGTTTGCTGCAGAAGTATGAACTCATTTGTAACCAATTATTATTTGATATCAAAAATCTATAAATTAAACAAACTTTTTGTTTTGTCAAACCCAGTATTGAAGGCGGATGTAGGCTATAAACAAATGGAGGAAAACCCCACACAGAGTCCAAAGCCGCCGCCTAAGGGTTCGGCAGACAAACCAAAATCAGCGGACAAACTAACTCGGGAACAGTCCGTAAGGTCTTCTATTTAACTAAATATTTGGCATTCAATTGGACTCAAAAATCAAATATCATTTATTCAATTGATTATTCATTTATTTTATTATTTGTATCATTAATTTTTCTAAAGTTTATCCAATTATTTCTAATTTTTTTATTTAATTTTTTTATTCATCAAAATTATTTCTCATTTGATGTTTTGTACATTTGTTTCCATATTTTAAAAAAATATATTATAACTTTTTCAACAACAAAAAAAATATTTAATAATTTTTGTTAAGTTTTTTTTGTGCAAAAACTCATAATTAATATATTCTTAAAATATTAAACAATATTTTCAATTATATTTATATTCAAATGTATTAAATAATTGAAATTCAATTTTGAATTCATTTTATCAATCAATGCATTACATCAATGATATGAATCTTCAATTGAATGTCATTTATCACTCATTTTATTGTTGACTTAACTCACATACTATTTGGCAGTTTATGTGAACAACAGTTATACATAAACTGTACACATATATAGAGTGATGTCATAAAATCAGTGTTTATTTTGTTTGTAAATAAAATGTGATTTTTTAAACACTAATTGAATGCAAAAAACTATAACTAAATTAATGTCTAAAATGACTGATATTTACAATTATAATCATTAATCTTCACGATTATCACAATTTTGGTTACAGTGCGGCCATCGATAGCTTTTGTGGGCTAACAATCACTTCCCAAGCAATGCAATCACTGTTAAGACTAAAGATATTGATGTCGTCGACCACGAGATTATCACCAAATGAGTGCCAAAGATGTTACCGATTACTTACAACAACGATAACATCGCGAAGACATTGTAGTCAAACAGTACAACACAAGAGACTGGTGTTATCGGAAACTACCGGTACTAACAAAATGGACAATAAGTTGTCTGTAGAGACAAATGTGATTCAAGAGCTCAATAACAGCGATAATCTGTTGCTGTATTGTCCCAAATGGCAGCTCATGTACGATGTCTTCTATAAGTCAGCCGTCCATCAGACCAACAACAAGACAACCAAAATGTCTGCCAAAATCACCGATGATATCACCGATCAATTAGATAAAGTCATTAGCGATGATACCAACGGACAGTTTATTGGCGATTGGAAATCAGTTGATAAACTTAATAGTCAATCATTAGCCAAGTATTACTCACAATTGGCGAAACTAAGACTAACCGGTAGTTTATTTGACCATTTAATGTGAATATCTTTTTTTTAAATATTTATTATTATTTATTTTAGGACTAGTAGTTTTGACAACTATGGCCGGTTACTATATGGGTCTTCAATCGCCATTAGATCCAATGGTATTATCACTTACACTGTTAGGCACAGGTCTTACCTCAAGCTCGGCCACAGCTATCAATCAGTTTCTCGAAATACCATTTGACTCACAAATGAAGAGGACAAAGAACCGGCCGTTAGTTTTGGGCAAAATTAGTCCATTGCATGCGTGCGGGTTTGCGGCCGTTACCGGTGTTTCTGGTCTCGCATTATTATTATACGTGAATCCATTGACAGCACTGTTAGGTGCTTCCAATTTAGTACTTTATTCCTTTATTTATACTCCTATGAAAAGAGCTCACATTGCAAACACATGGATCGGTGCTATAGTGGGTGCCATACCTCCAGTCATGGGTTTTACAGCCGCCACGAATAGCATCGGTAAAAAAAGATAATTTAACTCAAAAGTTATCAATTGGGCTATTTATCTATTTTTAATTACAGGAATTAATGCTATACTAATGGGTTTAATTCTGTATTCGTGGCAATTCCCACACTTTAACGCCCTGTCCTGGAATATGCGACACGAATACGCCAGGGCTGGCTTCAGAATGATGTCCGTAACTGAGCCTAAACTATGTCTAAATACATCACTTCGACACTCGTGTCTTATATTAGTTTACAGTACTATCATGTGCTCTACATTAACCACTTGGATGTTTGCTGTCGACTCTTTACCCATCAACTTATACCTCATATATTTGGCGCATCAGTTTAGATCAAATCCGGACGCAAAGTCTTCGAGAAAATTATTTTTCTATTCATTAATACATTTACCGGCACTCATACTATTGATGTGTATAAGCAAAAGGAGAGACCAAACAAATAAAACTACTAAAAGCAACAATAATCCCAAAGATGATAATAAATTATTAATTACTAATAATATTAATATTAATTGACAATTAAATAATTTTAATTAGAATTATAGCTAAAATTATGTATAAATTATGTAACTGTAAATCACTGCCAAAAAATGCAGAATTAGAATAATTTTTTAAATTACTTGAGTTATTGACTTAAAATTATAAAATTATGATAGATTTTAAAATTATATATAACTTATAAGTTAAAATTGTTATATTATATTGTATTTTTAAATAGTAAATTTTCAGTTTATTCAGATAAATAATTTTTACATTACAATACTTATTTTATCAAATAATTTAATTGAATAATTTAAATGTACTTAAAATATTTCTTACGAATTTATTTTTGATAAACTAAATTATTTAATTCATTTATTATATATATATTGGAATACAGTGTCTGGTATTACGGTAAATATTATGAGGGTGTTTAAACATATACTGTACAATAATACTGTATATAAAAAATATTGATTAGTACCGTATAGACCCGCATATAGCCCCCGACAAATTTTTTAAATTTATAAATCAACATTTGGTATGGGGCTGTATCTCACAAATACCCCCTACTGGGGCTATATGTGAAGTCGTGGGGGGTAAGGAATGATTGGGGGATAGGGTTATATGTAAAATCGGTCTATTGCAATAAGAAACCATTAAAGGCCAGTTAATAGCAATTAGTGTTAAAATAGTTAAAATTAAATATATGATAATACCGTAATAATAGTAAAAATAACTAACACAATAATCAGCTTCCGATCGGTCATTAACTTGAAAATTATCCATTTATAGACCATTATTTGGCATTAAATAGACCGGTCAATAGATTGTATTTTTAAGGGAGAGTAGTTACACATTAAAAAAACTTCAATTATTTTAATAGTGGGGGTATTTGATAATTCATTAAAATAAACATATCTCACTTATTGTCACACATTTTCACATATGGCCCCCTGATGGCCAGGGGCTATATACGGTAATTTACTAAATTAATGTAATACATTAAGTTTTTTAGACGTCTGTAATAACCGGTTATATAATTTCTTAGTTACTATTTATTGCTTCCCCCATACCCTCACATTATTTCCAAATATTGTGGGATAAAATGTGAGAATTATTACTACAGTATATGAAAATGTTTAATTTTTAAAAATTTTCCACCCGGAATAGTTTGTGAATAAATCATATATAAGTAATTCATATTGTATTTAATTTATTATCCAGTGATAAATTTACTAAAATAATTCACGTAAGTTAATAAATCGAGTTTTTTTTAATAATGTTAAATTACAACAATTAAAATAAGGTAAATATCAATAAATCGATGACAAGTTAGGCTTTAAGTTAACTTTAATTGTTTAAAATAATATATGATTTCATAGTAACGGTTAAATAATATTTGTTTTTTACAAATATGAAGATAGAGTTTATATTTAACTATTTGTCTCTATTTGGTCTCATGTTTATCACAATAGTGGTCAGCAATATAAACATTACTTATTTTGAATTTTAGATACAATATAGCATTTAGTGATTTTTGTTTATTATAATTTACAGATAATTATAGCAATTATTTGGTTAGTATTGAAGAAGGATAAACTCAAAGAGTACTCCAATAGTTTAGGACTTCCCATCACTGATAAGAGAATAAGATGTTATTATTATATTGAAACTATTGATGATATTTAATTAATTAATAAATATATTGTTAAACACTTAATAGACATGAATGTAGAAACATCCAAAGATTCAACCATTCAGACTGATAGTTATGACCACAAATCTGATGAAGACGTCAATAAATTAAAGCCATTCGTGATCTACGAAGATTCTGATGATGAAGATAATGGAGTTTCATTGAAAGTACCATCGGATGAGTCAGATGTGTCAGATGAATCAGATAAGGTATCGATATTACCTATCGTTGCACCGGTAGTCACACCCTCAACCTCAGCAAAGACAGTGCCACTGCCTATTGAAGATCCGGAGTTTACATTGGATGTCGCTTAATGTCAGTGCAATTGGTTATATATTTTGTAAATCATTTATATTAATATTCTTTTAGTTTTATACATACTTTTGTTTAAATAAAACTACTTTATCTTTATTTTCAGTTAATTTTGTTTGCATTTAGAAATTAATAATTATTTATTCAATGTTTTAATTTCTTTTATTTACCGTAAATGTTAATTTTAATTTCATTATCTTTTCTCAATAAAGAAATTTATTAGTATATTAATATCTAAATTAATTAAATCATTTTGAAATTCAATTTTATTTACTGCTGTGCTAAAATTGTGATATTTTAAATTACACAAATTATTTTTTTTAATAGAAATACTAGAAAATAGTATAAATAAATAGTTACTAACATTTGCACAATTATTGCTAAATTAATTGAAAGTTTTTCTAATGGCTTTGATATACTGATGCGGAACCCAATAAAGCCAAATGATTTTCCGGTGTTTTAGTTCAATACATAATATGCAATACTCTTCGTGACCATCGATAGTCTGATCCTCAATGTGTACGACATCAGTGATATTGTGTTGATAAGAGTTTGCATTGTAATGGATGCAGAACTGGTCGCTCTCTAGTTTGAAGCTCAGGCGACAGGTTTTCTCCATTTTGTCGACCAGTCCTTCAATGCCATTGATGGGCAACTCTTCGTTTCCATTTTTATATCCAATCATAACATTCTTAGGCTTTCCTTTGTCGACAATTTTCTTGTGTTTGTTTTGATTGCAAAATCTCTGACCATTTGTGATCTCTTTGTCATTATTGACGTCAATATCAGGCTTTAAAGCAGCGGAGATGTCATACAAAGTGGTGCCGACAACAAGTATTTTATCGTTATTTTTGACGCCAACGGTAGCCAACGTATCAGCATTTTTATGGATTGCCTTTCCTTTAAGTATGAGTTTCTGCATATCGGGTGCTATTTGAGTCAACCGTTGGATCTCATTCTTCAGTTGTGTTACCGTTGTGTTTGATTGTAGACTCAATTCAAAACTTTTCTTATCGTAAATTATCCTAAATTTTAACAAATCAGTTGCTGACTCGTTATTAACCATTTTATTTATTGGTTTGTTTCAACTCACTATTTGTTGAATTTTCAATTATAATAGATTATCTATTTATCAATTTTAAAATTATTTTACGTTATTCAATAATAATTCACTATTATATACAATAGTTTTATATAAAAAAACTATTATTTATCACGAAATAAATAAATATATAGTTTATATTTATTTCATGTGTTAAGAATTTTATTAATCTTTTATGTGTTTTGATTTAAATTTTGAGAATCTTTATGATAAAAATAAATTGATAACAATTATGTATTGTATATTATATACAGATTAAGATGTATTAAACAAGACTTACTGAGTCTATAATATAATTAAATAATTTTGTTTAAATTAATAGAAATATTTAAAGCAATGCTAAATTACTAAAAATTAAAAAAATATTGTAAAATAGTTTTATGAATTATTTTAAAGTTGTTGTTAATTTAAAATTACAAATGGTATACTATAGCTATGATATAGAGATAAAAAGTAATAAAAAATTATTTATAATATAACTAATATACTAATAATGTAAATTAATAAATTCAGTTTAGGTCAATGTTTTAAAAGTTGTTAACTAATTAATAGTATATCAAACTTTCGTAGTTAAAATTAATTTATGTTTTGTATGAAACTTGTTAAAAGTTTAAGATATTTAGCTAAACATTCACAATTTGTTATTGAATGTATATTTTATGTAATAATTTTTTATATAATATTAATATTTCATAAAATATTTTTAAAGTTTATGCAAATCCTTGGATATAAGCACTCAAGTGTAGAAAAATTGCAAATAAAAAACATATTTCTATGTAATATATATATATATAATTACCTGTTTGTTGTCATAAAATTTAAATATATTGTCTAATTTAATAATTAACATAAAGTTTTGACACACTTTTAATAGGAAAAATGTAAATACTAAACACAAATAAAACAACTAATCAATGGACACCAAATTTCAAAGAAAATCATTTTTTATTTTTTACTTTTTTATTATGTAAATAATTATTATAACATTACTATATCTAATAATATAGAAAAATATAAAATTTAATAAAATAGGTGCTAATGTATGGAATGGCGTTCAGGTGTAATAAAATAATTATAGTAATAATGATAGCGCGCGCATTGTATTAAAAAAATATATAAAGTTTTTTTTGGATCAATTGGTGTTATAGTTGTCTTTTAATTGTTTTTGAATCACTGTTTCTTATCTTTTAAAGCGCCGAATAGGTGTTCAACAGTCTCGACAACACTGAATTGGATTTAGTGTTTCCAGCTTTAGTTCCCGGAGCCGGTAATATGGACGTACACTTCTGTGAGGTCGGATCAAAGTCACGGCAAGCGATTTCTGGAATTCTGGTTCCGGCAACTGATTGCAACATTTGGGAACTGTATTTCATGCCTTCTTTACCACATTTGGCTTCAATGATATCTGAAGAACACTTTCTCATACGTCTGACGGCGCAACACATCTCTGATATAACAAAATAATAGACAAAAATAATTATAAAAAAAAACTAATATAAAGTTATATAAAATATGATAAATACCGGGAATCCTGTTCTCAACGTCAGCGTTGATGGCCTTATCGAGAGCAACAGTCAGATCCCGTATACAACTTCTGGCCTCTTTCTGTGCTGTATTCAAACACACTGAGTGTTTGAGAAATTTCTCCCTTTCCTCTGAGTTATCTTTAGTACAGAAGTCTGAATACCATGATTTGACGTCTCCCTGTTGGGTCAAACTTCTCATAAACTCTCGCATGGATTTTGTTGAACAACGACGAGAGTAATTGCCTATACATTCGTTCATCTCTTTCATACCATTACATTGTTTGTTGATCTCAGCAATGGTTGCTGTTTTAGTCAAATGGTAATTAAAATACAAATAATTATTAAAATTATTTAATGAAAGTTTAAATTGTTATTTTTAGACAAATTAAGAAAAATTGAAAAATAATAAGATTTACAAAAATTAAATTTACAAAACGGTTGCATAACTTACTCGGGAGGTTCTGACCAGAGGCCAGTCCTGAGGCGAGACATAAGTCCAGTTCTCGCAGATGACATGAGCTTTGAGCGGCAACAATAGTCGCTAATTATAAAAACAATATAAAATTATTATATTAATAATTTTTATCATTAAAACATTAATTAGAAAATATTATATGTTTGAAAAAAAACATTATAATCTATATTTAAACAAAAAATTAACTAAAATTAAATACTTAAAAATAAAATTTCAATTAACAAACAAGACTTGAAAATCACATTTTATTTATAAATCTACTAAATTTAATTCAAGTTTTACTTTCTAGCCTTTTATCTAAATATTGTATAATAAAGTGAGAGACGATTGAAAATAAGATAATGTCTTAACACATGAATGTCATGTCATTGTTCCAGTTATTTAATACACAATTAATATAGTGTTATGTTATAAAAGCAAACAATTTATACTTTATATAACTTTTATTTTTCTAAATTTTAATAAATAAATATATACTTAAAATGATAAATATATCACATATCTGTCAACTAAAAAAACAATAACATTGCAAATGTTTAATAATAAATATAAAAATGTTTAAAATTGTGGTTAAACTATATATTAATTTTTGTTTTTTGTGTATATCAATAGATAATTTATATACATTAAAATATTTGAATAGTTAATAAAATTATATTAGTTGTATTCAATAATGATAAAAATCAAAACCATATATAAATTATTTGCTTAAAATAACTTTTACTTTAAACTTATTTTTTCTTAATATTTTTATGAAAATATACTTAAGTATGTTAAATATCATATCAGAAGTAAAAATCAAAACTTTAAAGGAAATAATTTTGATATATAAATAATAAGTTTATTTCATATTAACATTTATATGAATGAACTAAAAAAAGTATATATAAATAAACTAAACTTTTTCTACATTTTAGAAAGTTATTAAAATAGAAAGTTATTTTAAAATAATAAAATAAATAACAAAAGATTTATATATCAATTATACACATAAAAAATATAATAAAATATTTGTTATAAAATGTATTAATTAAAAAAATATACGATAAATATATATTTGCAAGTAATATATAGGTTACATAAATAATCTTCTCAATTAAGTTATCATTATAAGTAAAATAAAAAATATAGTAAAATAAAAATATTTAATTAATAATAATTAGTTTAGAAGTTTAGTAATATAATGAAAATAGTAAATAATGATTAAAATTAAATATCAGTAAATTATATTTAATATAAATAATAAATTGAATAATTATATTATTAAATATATTGTATTATATAAAATAAAACAATGTATAATATATAATGTATAAATCTTAATATAAATAATTTATTAATATTATTAGCAATTGATAAAATAAAATAATAATTATATGAAATAAAATGATTTGAATGCATACCGATAGCTAAGAAAGCGATACCAAATATGAGAAACTTCATCGCTTTCTTCTTTAGTTACAATCACTTTACTTCAAGACTTATGGCTAAATAAAAATGAAAATCAGAGATCTTTATAGTCGGAGGACTTGTATCGCAATGACTAAGCAAAGTAGTGGTGGTGTGACTGCGCTTAAGCTGACAGTGGTTTACGTCTTGTCGTTGTTATAGAGTATCAGTTGTCAGTTGACTTGTTTTGTGGTCACAATCCTTGGATTCTTTTGCATGAAATCACACGACTTTTGTTTTTTATAACTTTTACTCTCCCTATCCCTCTATGAGTCTAATGACAACAACAACAACAACAACGACAACAACGCCAGCAAATAATAGTATGATATCTGAAACACTGGTTTTTGAGATTTTCAAAAGACTTGCACAACTTGTTGTGTATTATTTTGTTTAAGTGTAATATCGAGGCTATAAAGCAAAGCCTATTGCACTATAAATACTATAAAATACCTGAAAACATAATTTTTTTTTGTTTAAACATAATTTAATAACTAGTTTTGCTCTAATATCTCGTACGTCAGCAACCATTTCGGGGAAAGTGATACCAAATTTTAGGTTTACATATACTGTATATATATGTATACTGCAATGTTTTCACACTAATTGTTTATAAATGATTACTTTCACTCAATAATTAGATGCTATATTATTATTTATAATCTAATTTAAATATTTTTATTGCTTATTCAATTTGCTAATTACTTATTAAAAAAATTATTGATTATATTTACTGGAAAAATATTTTTAATGATTTTCTTTTGATTTTAATTTAAATATATTTAACTTGATTAAATTGTAATTTAATCTTTGTAATATTAATAAAATATTAATTTTATGCAAATTTCTATGTAAATAATAATTAATTATTTTTATAATGGAGTATAACTTAGATATCTAAATGCATAATTAAAAATATTAAATTAATGAATGAATGACGTGTTAACAAAAATAATTAATATTCATTAACCCAATGAAATCGGAAATAAGTTTTATATAACACTAATTAAATTTTGAAGGATAATACTGTTTTGACAAAAATTATCAATGCATTTATTATTCAAATTGATAATCTTAATGAAAAATGTCAATAAAAGTAAAAAATAATGTAAACCAAAGTTATATTTAAAATAAAGAAATTTAAATTCTATCAATATTTAAAATGCAATTTTAAAAAAATAATATTACATGTAATATGAATGAAAACAAGAGTTATTTTCTAAATAATGATTGATTAAATTATTTAATGGGTCCCAAAGTTTTTTGTGTGTATCTAATTATACTGTAGTTAGATTCACTTGAAATCATTATTTTAAAATAACATTTTGTTGAATTTACAATAAAACTATAATATGTTTAATAGTTAAGTCACAAACACTTGTGCAACAAATATTTGACTCATAGTCTCTCTCTCCTCTCTCTCTTTCTTTCTCTCTCTCTCTCTCTCTCTCTCTCTCTCTCTCTCTCTTGAAAATCAATCCATTAATGTCAAGACTTGAATATAATTGCAATAATAAGTATTAAAAAATATAAAACAACGAAAAAATGATGCTATTCATAGACATTAGTAATACTAAGATACTAATAATAAAAATAATACATTAGCATATAATGTTAAGTATCATCTCAATGTCAAATGTGTCGTTAAGTGTATTATAATATAATTATATGTATGTTTAGATTGTTTTCAAAAGAAAAATAATAATAATTTAAAATAAAGAAAAATCAATCACAAAACAAGTGATTCTCTTTACTATTGTTGTATTGTTTTCATTAAAATACAATATTTACTTTTATTAAATGTTATTTATAAATTTATTGTTAATATAATAAAATTTTAATATACAATACAAGTATAATATTTGAAAATACAGATATTAATTATTAAATTGTACATTAATTTTATTTATGCTTTAAAAAAGTGTTTGCACACTCAAAAATTAAAATTTCATTCAAAATATGTAAAAATAATTATTTAAATTGATATTTAAATTTATTAAAAAAATTAGCTAAAAATAAAATTGATATATACTATCAATAAGAAACTCAATTTTAGATAAATTATATTTTCCTCAAATATTATATTATAAGCATATGTTTGATAAAATGATAAAAAGGCAATAAAATTAAAATTGTGTTTAGACTGAAAAACTATTTAAAATGTTTCGGTCAAGGATTTCATAATATATATTTAATTGATTTTCAAAGTTTATTTTATATAAGTCAATGCATTACATTAAAAAGTGTAATATTAAACAAATGTTAACTTATAGAAATTATAAGTTTCATAAACTAGATTTTAATTTATAGTTATTTTTAATTTTATATCAAATTTGATTAATCATTTTTATTAAATATAAACTTTCTATTTAAGTAAATATTTGAATAATTTAATTTATTACAACAAAAATTTGTTTATATTTTTAACTTTGGTTAAAATCTATTTGATTTTAAATTTGATAATTTTGATTAAATTATATTAATTTCTATATAAAATATTTTAAAATATAAAATTCACAATAAACAATTATCATAATTTTTATTTAGTTTCAAAATATTGTATTTAATGATATTTATAATATTTGTCGTTTGGGATATTTTCTGAGTTTTATATAATTGTTAATCAGTTTACAATTTAAGTTATTGCTGTAATAAATTTAATACTGCTGTATCAATATAATATTTATGTTGAAAATATAAAATTGTCAATAAATGTTTATGTAATTTAAATTATTAAATAAGTAATTTAGAATAATAAATAAGTTAATTAAGGAAATATAGTTTTAAAAAATATTTATTATAAAAATTACTTTAATAACTTTAAAATCTAAATCTAAATAAGAAAAATATATTATTTATAAATTTTTAAATAATTTTATTATTGCATTTATTTATTGACTTATTTTTGTCTTTATATTACTGTACTATAGTAATGCAATTAAATATTATCAATCATTTTATTTTACTATTGACCTATAAATAGATGTTTTTTTAATCCTAAGAAAAACACTTTCATTTATCTCTTTATTCTTAATAATATTTTCATAAGTATTTCCAACTGTTTTTTAAAACTAAGAAAAACCAGTTAAGAATGCTAGAAAGCATTATTAGAAAAAAAAACTTTGACGACATAAATTATTATCTTCGCAAATTAATTGTCAGTTGACTTTAGTCATTTAGTAAAATGACAAAATAAATTAAACTTTAGTCATGTAGGGTATCAAATGATTCAGTATGACAAATATACTCAACTTTAGTCATGTAGGGTATTGAATGACTCGGTATGACATAATAAACCAAACTTTAGTCATGTGGGGGATCAAATGATTGAGTATGAAAAAATAAACAACATGTGCGGTATTAAATGATTAAGTATAACAAAATAAACAGCTAAAATCATACTTTGCCGCCATTTTTTAAAAAAATAAAATAATAATTTTGATATATTTTATCTTATTTTTGATGCTCTATACAATTCTAAACGTTAAAATTGTTACCTAAAATTTTTTACTTTGGCCGCCATTTTCTCTATGTTCCTGTAGAGATATCAAAATTTTAAGGCATATTTCTTATGCTTATTTTTGATGCTTTATTCAAATCTATACTTTAAAAAAATTTTCTTAAAATTTTTTGTACTTTGACCGCCATTTTGTCTATGTTCCCGAAGATATATCAAAATTTTAATACAACTTTTCAATAGATTATTAGTAGTCCTCTAACCGAATCTGAAGTCAGAATTTCAAAATTCGCAAAATGAAATGCTACACACACACAGACAGACAGACTCAAAAAGCCATTATAGATTTCAGTAAACAAAACTTTTCAAGTTTTTTTTGATAATTATATTGTATATCAATTGTATTTAATATTAAAACATTAATATCGCTGTTAAATGACTCGACATAACCTCACATTGAGTACCATTTCATCACTGCTTACATATAACTTACTGTAAATTTTTATATTAGAGTCGATATTACAGTAGATGTTTAGTCTTATTGATAGTTTGATCATATATTGATATATACCGGTATATAAAATATTATTTATCTTATTTACAATCTATAGAAAATCATATCAAATCAGTGATTTTAAAATCACAACTTTGATAATGATTTGTTGATTTTATATACAATTGCTTCAATTGATAATCATTGTAATCAAATTGTAAAATATATATTTTTTATCAGTTTTTCTTCTGAATACAGGAAAAACAGGAGAAGTGGTATACATTTATGGGAACAGATGTCGATACAGAACAGACAGTTCCAGTTCTGATGCAAATAATGTTTATTGTGGATTAAATTCAATTTGAATGGCAAATAACTTTTAAATATTTTATATAATAATTATATAATATTTATTATTGCTAAACTTTTTTTTAGAGAAATAAATATTTGTAAAAATTGCATTTTTTGTTAATTCAATAATATTTCATAAATATAATATAATTTATCATTATAATTTATGTTAGTAAATTATTTATATACTGTATTACTGTATACAACTAACTTTACTAATTTAGTTACTCTATTTTATTTGAATTATTAAAATTATTGTACTTTGATATCACAAGAAAAATTATAACAATAATAAATCACAAAAACTATAATAAATTAGTTATTAAATATCTCGAGCTATAATTAGTATTCAATATATTTCAAAATCGATTGCAATCAATAAATTCATTATCTTTGGATCTCTGGAAGTATTTCTTGACTTATTGTTGTATCGCTTACTTTATAAGTCTCTATCAATGGGTTGTTGTGTTAGCAAAGATCAGGAATGTGTGTTGAGTTTACCACAACCATCATCTTCTTCTGAAAAATCATATCAACACCAAAATCATCGATTGTCACCAATTGATACAAAATCAATTGAAGTCAACCAATACACTGATGAAAACCAAAAGTTAAATGAAGAGAACCAAAACTTTGAGCCATCAAATGAAAAGTCTGAGAAGAGTTCCGAAACAATGACTTCAATATTGACACCGACCTCACAGTTTCTCAAGACTGTCGGCAGTAAAACTTATACAAAACTACCGAAAGATCAATCGGAAGCCATCGACTCTGATTCGACATCAAATGAAAAAAGTGAAGAATTGAGTGAAAAACATAAAATGTCAACAATTAGTGAGTCATTGAGCGATCCATTGGAGGAATGGGACATAAGTAACATAAGTAGTAATTTCATTGATGACAACATTGATAAAACTGATATCTTCAACGATCCGTTGCCATCAAATATGGATTTGAAAATGACGACCATTTGGTCTAACGATTCACCGCAAACAATGTCCTCAATTTGGTCTTCGGAAAAGTTGTCACAACTTACAGACCGTACGGGCAGTCATAAAGACAGTCAAAGATTTAGCTCTGCGTTGGCTTATCCTTCACTTTCTTCGGGTGAATCGTCATCAAAGTCATTGAGTCCCAAAAGTTTCAGCAGTTCTTGGGTTGTCATTGCAAATGAAGAAACTTATTGATAGTCAGTAACTCGTATTAGTTTTTGCAAATTTTACAAAATTTATTAATTTTAAAAACTTTAAATTTCTTTATACTTTATATTATATTCTTTCCAAATCAATAATCAATATGTATATAACCTTTTATTGCTTTTTAACATATTATGATTTTCAATAAAATAAAATAAAAACATAGTTATAAATAAGTTATTAATATGTATGTAATTATAAATTGATTATAAAGTCAAGTACTGTAAGTGTATTAATAATAAGTTTAAAAAGTAGTTATTTTAAGCAATACTTAATCCCCATGTGTTTAGTAACTTTACATTCAGTATTGCTTACAAGTGTTAGTAGAAAAAATGAAAAATAATTATTTTGGTTGTTATTAGAAATGAGTTAAGTAAAAACTGAATCAAATTAATTTAATATAATCAATAAAATTAGTTATGTTAAAAACAAAAAGTGACATAATTATAAAGTATTCAAATGAATTAATGTAAAAATAAATATTAATATTTTGCTAAAATATAGAAATTAAGAGTTAATGCAATATTAGTCAGTTTTAGTGAATACTTGTTGATTGAAGTGATGTGTTGTGTAAGTGATGTAATGTTTGAGATCATACACCACTTCATGCAATCATTTCTATAGTATGTGTCCTCAGTTTCACATCCAATATGAGAAGTCAGTCTTAACTGCGATGACCAGTGTATGCCATACCTGTCTGAGCGCGATATCAACTCAATGCTGACCATAGTGTCGGCAGTTGTGGTTATAGATGACCGTTCCCTTACATCCATAGATGTAATGGGAAGACAGGCATAGGTTATGAGCAGTATTTTATTTTAAAACTAAAATTACAATTTATAAAGTTTTAATAATAATAATAAAAACAACAGACTATTTTAATTAAGTAATAGAAAATATCAACATTTAATTTATGACACATATACTGTATTAACATTTCTTAATTTAAATATTATATTAAAAAAAGCAATTTTTATAATGAGATACATTACTAATGATTGTAAAGTTAGTGACATATACCGGTGGAAAAACCATTTCCCAATAACTACTTTCGTAAATAATATTAAATTTAATTTATTACAATATTATAATAGTTTATTAATCAAGTTATGATGAAATATTTTTTTTAAAAAAAAACATAATAACCCATAATTTTCCTTAACTATATTTAACAAAACTAAAGTTATAAACTAATGTCTAGTTGTTTTATATTAACTATTTGAAAATAAGTTGTTATTATAAAATATTATAATGCCTTTAAAAGGTGTAAAAGTAATAGAACTGGTAGGTCTGGCACCGGGACCTTTTTGTGGCCAAGTACTTAGTGATTTTGGTGCTGATGTGATTAGAGTCGATAAGGTATTTATTTCATTAAAATTAATTTATATTTAATCATAAGATTATTAAACAATAACTGTTTTATTATATAAAAGGCGTATCAGAAGGAAATAGAAAACTTAAAGAGAGGAAAAAAGTTGGTATTAATTGATCTCAAGAAAGATGAAGGAAAAGACATATTCAAGAGATTGTGCAAAACGGCTGATGTTGTCATCGAAACATTTAGACCGGGAGTTATGGAACGGTTAGGTTTGGGACCAGACGTGTTGATGCCAGTAAATGATAGACTCATATATACACGAGTTTCGGGTTTTGGTCAGTCGGGCTCATTGGCCAAAAAGGCCGGACATGACATCAACTATTTGGCCATTTCAGGCATTTTGTCTAAATTAGGTGTCAAAGATAGACCGATTCCACCGATTAATGTTTTAGGCGATTATGGAGGCGGAGGTCTTATAGCAGCAATTGGGATATTATTGGCACTATTTGAGAGAACTAAATCAGGAAAGGGTCAGATCATTGACTCAAATCTTACAGAAGGCACGGCATACTTGTGCTCCTGGATATGGGAATCTATGGAAGATTCATGGCTTATGCATGATGTCATGTGGCCAAAGAAAGACCAACGTATGAGCAATCTTTTGGATGGCGGCTCTCCTTTCTATCGGTGCTATCGCACAAAGGATGACAAGTTTATGGCTGTTGGCTCTCAAGAGTGGAAATTTTATCAGCCATTTGTCGAGACATTAGGTCTGGACATCGATGAATGCGACAGAAATGAAGTATCAAATTGGGATCAATTGAGTGAAAAGTTTGCAAAAGTTTTTGAGACTAAAACACAAAAAGAATGGACAGAAATGTTTGAAAAAGTCGACGCTTGTGTAACACCTGTACTCGACTTACAAGAGGCGCATAAATATAAGCATAATGTGGACAGAAATTCATATTTTACTAACGGTAGGCCTCGACCGGCACCCATACTATGCCGAACACCGGCCGCACCTCTCAGTCATGACAACTCTGATTACGATTGTTTGCACACAAAACAGATTCTCTTAAATTATGGATACACTGAGGCTTTTATCAAACAGTTGACCGACAAACGGGTCATTGAAGTTGAAAGTATTGCCTCAAAACTTTAGATATGATTTAATAAAAATTTGTGCATTGATTTAATATTATAATACAGTTATAATACAGTATAATACAATAATTATGTATTTAATATTGTTATAATTATAATACTGATATATTAAGTATTCATATTTTATTTTAAATAAATTTAGAAAAATTACATTCTATATAAATAAAATAAAAAATCTATAAATACAGTAAATAGATTATATAACTAACAGTTTTCAACATGTAATAGACTAAAAACTATAAGTAATATTTTTAAAAAATTTTATAATAAGTAATACAAAAATTTTGTCATAAAATAAATGACAACCAGTGAAGTGAAGGCACCGTTAATGACCACTGATTGAGCCAAAGAAGGTTTGTTAGTCACTGATGGTTTAGTTTGGGAATCAGTTTGAGAGTCAGTTTGAGCAACAGTTTGGTTATCACTTCTGAAGGCTGCGGACTCAATCACTGCATTGCAACCAAAAAGATCTTTGTTTGGCAGCCATTCGGCCTCTGTCTGACAATTGGCGCCTGTCTTCGGCACTTTCGTACGTTTACAGTACTTTGATTTCTTGAAGAAGTAGACAATGTAACCATCTTTTGGGTCATTAGCTTTAACACTGAACGCAGCGGTCAGATCAGTTGGAAATTCTTCGCCGTTTTTGCCACCATTCCAACCACTCGGCCGATTATCGATTGTCCACAACTTATATCGGGTCGAGAAATAGTAAACTTTAATACCGCGAAAACCGATTAACTGCGGGTCGTCAGGATTGCCGTTATGTATGGCCGCCTCAAACCCACCGTCGGGAAACCGGTTATGGATTTGTCCGTCCTCTTCGGTTTTCAATTTGCCCTTTTCGTCCCAAAGCCAAAACACTTTGTTTTCGATTTTGGCGGTACGGCCTTCTTCAGAACCGCTCAATATAGTGACCACCGCCTGATTTCGTTCAACGGGATTCATCTTTTCGTACGGCAATGGAAACGGACCGTCCAGTTGGCCGGTATTGCTGTCGACCACACCTTTTAACACCCAATAGTGTTTGTCGCGATACAGACGTATCGTTCCGTTCATCATTCGGTCCGCAGAACTGATAATTGGTTTGTTGCACAACGAGTCCACCGATTGGGCGACAACCACACCGTTAGTCATTAAGTATAAAATGATGAAAACAGCAATCGGTAACCATTGAATTGTCAACATTTCTAGTATTATCAACAAATAGGTCAACAGTTAGATATCTTTGTCTGAAAAGTTGATATATAAATGTCAAATAAACGGTAAGTTATGAATAACTTTATTAAAAATTAATAGAAATTAACTGCTATTCCATTTAAGTTTATATTATTGTCTCGTTTATCACATTTTATTGTTTTTATATTATTGTCGCTCGACTTAAACTAAACTGAATTATACTTACAAATACTGATATGACTACTAAATAATTAGTATTTGTTACTAATAATTAATAATTATTTATATAATGTTTTTTAAATATATTATAAAAATAGATCTTACATTAAATCATAAATACAGTGTTTTTAATAAAATCAAAATATATGATAAATATAAATTTATATCATTTTAAATGAGAATTTTAATTGAAATATTTGACTGATTTTCAAATAAAAAATAATTCATTTTTTCTTCTTTTTTGAATTCTTTGAAAGAGTTTTTTCTTTTCTTTTTTCTCGGGTCTGACTTCTAGTGATGATTCCCTTTCTTCTTGATTGTGATGACTGCCGTCCACTACTAGTCGATGCAATGGGCAAACCATTTGTTTGTGGATTGAGTGTCACTTCATTTTTAAGCATTTTCTGATTATTTGTATTATTTTCTTCACCTTTTTCTTCTGCCTTTTGGTTTTTGTCCTTTTCTGACGACATGTTTGAAATCACATCTTTTTTGTGTCTTTTAAACAAAATATTTCCGATTTTGTGGTCAAAATCTGGAACTCCTCTTTTGTTATGAAGTGATTTTCTTGTGTTAGATTTTGTTTCTTTTCTGGACTTTCTTTTTAAACCACTAACTGTATGTCCAGTTCCAGGAAATGGCGAACAAGACTTATCCATTTGATCCTTCATGTGATCCAAATCGCATTCTTTAGGCAAAGGAATCTGTTTGAACTCTTCCTTCATTTCTGCAAAATCTACATTAAGATCACATTCAGTGATATCTATTGTATTGTTTGGCAGTGTTTCACATATTCTCAAGTCATATATGTGTTTGTTATGACAAATGGAAATGACATCATCTCTGGTAATGCAGACATACATTGACATACAGTACTCGAGGACAGCCTTGGCATCAGTGATGTCATAAAAGGATCGCGAAAGTGGTTCAAACTTAACAAACACACCCTTCGGAAGTGGAGTTAATAGTACTTCAATGGACACATCCATACCCATATCAATTTGAAGTCCTCTTAATATCCAATTGGGAACCAATACCTGTTTTTCTTGGCTATCAAATGAGAAAACGCCAGAAAGTATTGTCAGATTTTTGTTTGTTAACCTATTTATAGAAAAACATAAAATTAATGGCAAATTAGTTTTAATTAAAATCAGTTAATAATAACCTAAAAATCATAGGTGACTGTTCTAATCGGTAAACTCTCCGAAATATACTGTGGGGTAACACAATTTTGCCCCCATTTTGGGCCTCTGACACTCTCTGACTACTATTGTCTCCGATGTGATCAATAGAAAAGGCCTTTAATTTTCCCAATTTTATAGTTCTGTAATTTACTGCCATTTGGTTTTTTGGATTATAATTTTAATAATTTATTTTTTAATTTTCAAATCTGAACTAAAACAAGAAATATCGCGATATTTATAATATAAATTTAATTAATAAAACAAACAAAATTATTAATTATATTTAATGATAATTTTTGTCGATTACGGTTATTAGAGTGCGCGCATATAATTGGTGTTATTTAAAAACAAAAATCAGTTTGAATTTTTTTCCAAATAAATTGATACATAATATTGAAATTACAGATATTTTTCTTAACATTAGATATTAAAAGTTAAAATATGGGCTCTTATTGTTGTTGTTGTAAAGGTGTCGATGAGACAAACAAATCAAAAGAGAATTCAAACCCAAACTCAAACCCAAAGGGACCGACAGATCATAAAAATATTGGAAACAACGGACAGAAGTTGTTTAAATTGGATGTCGAGGACAACGATAACGACCAGAAAAAAATCATTGAAGACGAAAAACTGGCAAATCTGAAGATATCAGCTAAAGGAGGACAAAGTGCTTACGGAAAGCTTAAGAATAATAAAAAAGAGGAGAAAAAGAAAGCGCTTTCGGCTTCTAATTACAATTCATTGGGTTTGGTCTCCAAAGAATCAAAAGAGTTTCAAATAGTTCGCGAATATTTGGCGACAAAGAACTATCAACTCATTGAGTCCATCGGATCCGGCAATTATGCCGAAGTCTATAAAGTGATGACTGAAAAAAATCGATTAGTGGCCGTCAAAGTTATTGACTTAACCAAAACCAATGACAACTATAGAATACAGTTTCTTCCCCGAGAAGTCGATATTATCCGTAGACTAAGACATCCGGGAATTATTAAGACATACGAAGTCTCTCAAACAGTTAACAGAATATTTATGATTATGGAGTTCTGTTCCTATGGAACGGTAACCATATGGTTGAGAGATAACGGAGCTTTACCCGAACCAGTGGTCTGGGAGTTCATCACACGCATACTTGAAGGGCTTGATTATATGCATTCATTGAAAATAGCGCACCGGGATCTCAAATTAGAGAACATTTTAATCAACCAAAGACTATATCCAAAACTAAGTGATTTTAGTTTTTCAATGATTATTGACGAGAAAGAGATGCAATCGACCACTTTTTGCGGTTCATTACCTTATTTTTCACCCGAAATATTGCAACGAAAGCCTTACAACCCATTTATATCAGATGTTTGGAGTCTTGGTGTTTGTTTCTATGTCATGATTTGCGATGGACTGCCCTTCAAAATAGATGACGACAAACAAATGCTTAATAAACAACTGGAACGGGACTGGGATTTCAAGAAAAGGGTTAAAAATAAGTTGTCTTATGAGCTGAAAATAATGATCGGAAAAATGCTTGAACCGGATGTCACCAAAAGAGCAACAACTCAGACATTAATGAATGATCCGTGGATTAAGACTCAACCAAAACCTCTTGAATAGCTATGAATATCTCTATAATAAACAATTCAAATCAATTGACAATTTAAATAACATTATTATTTTCAGTTTCAATTTACTAAATTTTGTAAATAGTTTTCTTTAATATATTAAACAATAAATATACAGTATTTATCAAATTATTAAAAATTATAAATATAATAAAATTAAACTTTAATATACAAATCAGTTAATATTTATCTCTTTGAAAATAAATATAAAACTTCAAAATAAATTTCTGTCGGTTATGTCATTGATATTATCATCAAATCATTCACCGATGAAATCATTAAATTATAAAATAGTAATTTGTTATTTGTGGACAATATTTTCAAAGTGAAATAAATAAAATGATTATTAAATTTGTACAGAAATTTCTTGAAAATTAAAGACATTTAATGTGATTATACTTTATGATTATTATAATAAAAACTATTACAATTTTTATACATATAATTTGATAATATAAATGCATAATTTATATTTATATATAAAATTTTATTAAATATTTGTATATGAGTTATATTTTGTCTAATAATCTGTTTATTTAAAACAAATTTATATTTAGTGCTTTTATACTGTACAGTATAAAATTATGTCTCATTTTTTGTGAATATTTAGTACAATTAAAACAGCTTTATATACAAATGTGCTTAAAATATGAAATATACACAATTAAAAAAATGAAAATTATAACAAAATACAACACTCAATGAACCTAATTATCGCATACTTTTGGGGCATTAACTAAAAAATTGTAAAAATTAATAAAATTATGATTTTATTAATTTTGTTACAATTAATTTATTACATTGATTGCAGTGACTTTACATTTAGCAATTGCGGTGACAGTGACAGCATTTTTAAAATTAATAACTATACTGTAGATCCGTATGTTTTCAAATATCCAGGTAATTTGTGATATAAATAAATATTTTTCATTTTGCAAATAATACTACACATCAAACTATAATTACAGGTTCTCTACAATTATCTATAAATTTGAATGTTTTGAAAGACTTGCCGACAGATAACTTAAAAGTGAAAATATCGGCTAAAAAGTTGAGTCCATTTAAAGTTAAAATACCGTGTATTTTAGGTGTCGGTTCCTGGTATGTCTGTATTATAATAAACATATATTATTATTGTATAATTTTTGTTGTTGTTAATTTGTATCTAATTTTAACAGTTCATTAGATTTTTGTAACTTTTGGAAAGACATTTTTGATGTGATGCCAAAAGAAACTACTGTTCCCTTATGTCCATTAAAAGCCGGGAACTATGACTATAAAAATGCCAAAATAGTATTACCCAAGTTTGGTGTCCTAAGCTTTTTTGCCAGTATTATTGAAGTATTAATTAACTTTAATTTTCCTAATTATATTAAAAATTATATTAATTATAATATATTGTACTTTAGGGTGATTTTACAGCTGATCTAAAAGTTTTCAATTCAAAAACTAATGAGATTTTCGGCTGTTCTCGAGTTAACTTCACTATTGAACGAACCAAAGATAACAAACAGCGGATCAGTCTTTGGGGATAATTTTTTTCAATTTATTTAATAATATTTTATATATTTAATTATTTATTATAAATTCGATTATATAAATATTAATAAAAAAAGTGAAAATATTTTCCCAATAAAATTTTCTTTATTGAATTATATGAAAAAACTAATTCATAATAATCTTAATTTAAAAATATAATAATTAATTATAGATACTTGAGATAAATTAATATTTCAATTTAAACGTTATAAATGAAAAATTATGAAAGATATAAAATTAATTTCCAAAAAAATACAAAAACAATTGTCAATGATATCTATTTGCAAACTGATATCCAACTAGTGATGAGCTCTTTGTAATTGATTTGACGATTGTCTCCCAAATCCACTTCTAGTATGAGTTCATTAATTTCTTCAATACTCAACCTCTCATTCATTGTTTGTCTGAACTGATGGACTGATGCATCCGTTGCCCTCTTTATCCAACACTCGCAACACATTTCTCATGTTTTCTTTCAATTTATTCAAACGTACCACAGATTGTAAACTCGACGGACAATACTAAATACATTGCCATTGAATCGGTTTTTTGAAAAATGTGATAAAATGAAAAATTTAATAATTTCTGACCATTTATTGTTGTCATTTAGTGTATTGTTTAAATCATTAACTTAACTATAAATCCATTTCCCAACCATTCCCTCCCTCACCACATACCACACCCTTTGAAATTTACAGCAATCAATGGATTCAAGTTATACTGAGAATACATATGACAGTCATATCCAACAACTCTATCAAACAATTTATTTCGACGACTATAACAATATCCACTTTTTCAAAATGCCATCAAAATTGATAATAAAGATCTATCATCTGTTTGCTTGTTATTATGAAACAAAACAATAATAATTTAATTAATATAAACTAAAATCTAAAATTTGTTTACTTTGAATTGCATAACAATAATACAGTATCTGTGAAACATTGTTAAGACAATTAAATTATTTAATTGTAACTGATTATAATTCTAATAATATTTATTTAGTTCAAATATAACACATATTATAAATAATAATAATTAATTAATTTGTTTTAAATAGACTAGTTTAATGTTATAAATAAACAAAATACTTTTTTCTTTTAAATTTATTTTTCTTAATTTTAAAACATTTGCTTAATTTAGTTTAGCAGACATTAAAATTGTATGTATTATGGATTTTAATAGCAATGTTTTGGTTAACAATTATATGTATTTTGTTTAACACAATTAATTGTTCAAAGTTTAGTTATAGTGATTGTGGAGCTGATAATAAACTAATAAGATTTAATAACTTTACAATTGATCCAGATCCTATTAAATATCCAGGTAATGCTTTTTTATTATATAATAGTAATTTAATAAAATAAATCAAAAATTTTAGGTTCAATCAAATTTTCAGTCAATTTGGATGTTTTACAGGACATTGTTTCCGATAATTTTAAGCTAAAACTCAATATTGAAAAGTTATGGCCAACACGTGCAAAGATACCGTGCATTTTAAAACTAGGATCATGGTACTGTATTTACACTATCTATATAACACATATAACATAATTTTCAATATTAATTATTTAAAGAAAATTTATAATTTAGTTCATATAATGTATGCGATTTGTGGCGTATGTATGTTAAATACATGGGAAAGTTAGCACCAGATGCTAACTGTCCATTTGAAGAAAGTCATATATTATTGAATAACGTTATTATATTATTATCCGACTTTACGTTTTTGAAAACATATATTCAGGTAAAAGATTTTAAAATCAATCATATATTATGTAATAATTAGTTAATTCCCATTTAATAATTCAATTATTCAATAATTCTATATATTATTATTATCAAAAACAGGGGGAATATTCAGTAAATATAAGATTATATGACAGCAATAGTAATCAAACATTTGGTTGTTTTCAAACATACTTTACAATTGAACGAAAATTGTCGAAAATGGATATAAATGGATACAAACAATAAATATTTTACACATTAGGCGTGGTTCACATATTACGTTCGCACTTTTTAAGAAATCTAGACCCCCTCTCTCCCCTATGTTCGCAATTGTTCGTATGCTGTCATTTAAAAAATTACGTTCGCGTGTCCCTAACCGCTACCCCCCACAAGAAATAAAATATTATCTAAATGCGAACGTTCTTAAAGTCTCTACCCCTCCCCTCCCCCTCGTTCGTAAAAGTTCGCTTTAGCTAACCCCCCCTTCCCCTCAAGTGCGAACGTAATATGTGAAACACACCTTATCAATTTATTAAAAATAATCTAAAATTAAATACTTTTAACATATTTGTCATAAATAGCACTTTCACTACATTTATTGCCCTTCAAATACCTGATGACATATTTATAGGTCAACCCTTTGTTTGAATCCTTATATATATTTCATGCCTTGATATGCCTGTGCTTAACGACTGCAACTATTGTAACAAAATTTAATATTTGAATAAAATGAGTATTTTTTAAATTACAATAAGTTTTAATTGATTTGTGTGTCAAAATTTGTGTGAACTGTGTATTTATAATATTGATTATATGATTATTATTTTACTGTAAAATTAACTTATATTACTCTATAAACTTTAAAGTTAATAAACTTATCTGTTTGTCATCAACTTGTATATAAAGTTATATTAATCTGATATTGTAATAGTTATATTTTTTTTTTGATAAAAATATTAATATTGTTTATTAATTATAAAAATTATAATTATAAGTTATGATGATTCAAATCATTAATTACAACACATAACAAACACTACATTAATTTTATTGCTTAACACTAACTCGTAAACATTTTTAATGTTTTTTATACAATTATTATTACTACTACTTTTATTTTATTTACAAGTAATTTAATTGTATTTATATTACATATGTACTACATATACAGTATGTTTAAATAACTGATTAAAAAAACAAAAATATAATATAATACAGTATTTTATTATTCTTAATTAGTTAGAAATACTAATATTTTTTAAGTATTTTGTCATATATTTACATATTTGTAAAACATGAAATTATTTTCTTGTAAATCCTAAATATTAAAATTTATTTGTACTAAATATTGCAATATATATATAACTATTTACAGTATTAAATAAATAAATAATCAAATTGATTATGTCTATAGATTATAATTAGCAGCCCAKGGACATATTGTAACAAGTATATAAATAAGACAATATAAGATCCATAGGAATGGGAATATCAAACGGGAACAGTAGTCTACTTTATTTCTGGTCATCGGATCCTTATGATAGTCAACGACACCGAAGAAAAATATCAATAGTTTGTCGACAATTTTACCACATTTGGCAAAATAATTATTGTTACCAAAGTAATGGCCATTTAATAAATTCATGTTCAGATCTTTTTGAGACTATATATATATATAAATAATATTTTATAAAATATATAATATTAAATAGTTAAATAAATAAATTACAATTATTGCAGTTTTAAATGCTTTTTTATCATTGATAAAGTGCGCCCAAGAGATGGCCAAAGCGTACTCAAAGAGAGCCAAAAATACAAAGATCTGACACCAAATCATCCACCAGTGAATGGCCACCACATACGACACATTGATCTCATTATTCAGTGATATATCTAATGTTATCAAATTTAACAGCGGAGTCACTATTATTGTTACCTAATATTAAATATTATTATTATTAATACATTTCATGATTTTAATAAATTATTTTTCTATTTACCCTCGCAGGCCATCCAAGTATAGGTATCCAAAACTATTAAATATATAAAATACATAAAATTGTAATAAATAAAGTATTATATAATATTAATAATGTGAATACAGCACATACGCCAACAAATGCAATAATGACCGATAGAAAAGTAGGTGCATAGACACGGATAACATAATAACTGACCCGACGGACCAATTTAAGTGTTCCCCTCATACAAGAAAAGTTACCGACATATGAAGTCCTTACACAAGAGTCGGTATATATGGATCTGATCCGAAACTTGGGATAATTACTATAACCGGACACAAAGTCTTCCCATTGCATCAATAACTGAGAACTGGTTTGTGTAACTGTTTTTAATAATAATTTCCAAAATATAATAATTTATATATTAAATATAATAATTTTAATGTTATTTAAACTTACGGCTAACTGCCTCTATAGAGCAAAATTGGTAGTCTTGAGGATAGTTAGTTAAATCCATTTTACAAATAAATTTACCACTATATCTAACAGTGTATGTGATATTTTTATCGATGCCTATCACCAGATACTGCACACTTAGTCCAGAATTGACAATAGAGACGGACAGTGCGTTTTGAAAATATATGTCTGGGATCCAGAATTTTGAAATATAACTGCTATCAAGTATTATATTGTCAATTGTGTTATTGTGATCAAGAATATCATTTTGGATCCCTGAGCTCAGGTTTAACCTTTGATCATACCATTTGAGTTTTAATGTTAAATCTAATTGAAAACTCTATTTAAATAAAATATAATTAATTTACAAAATAAGAATATTAAAATATATATGATAATTATGGAATTTATTGTAATAATTTTACTAAAAATTTACTAAATTTAAAATAGTAACTATTTAATTTTTTTATATAAATTTTAGTTAGCAATTTTTATTATAAAATACAAATATTAATATAAATTAATATTTTAATATGTGTAAATAATTTCAGCACTTCATTTTATCGTTATTAATCAATTTTTATTTTCTAATTAAAATATAGTAAAAGAGTACTGTATTTCTGAATCTATATATTTTTATTTCCTATTTTTAATTATATATTAGCAATCAATAAATATCTAATTATAAATAGTAAATGACATAATATTTATTAATAAAGATTTAGAAATACCCACCGAATCACTTTCAGTGACTGACAATAAATCATTAACAATGACACTAATGTTGACTTTAGTAACGCCTTTAAAAAGTATGAGAAAATTCATATTGAAATATAAATCAAACATTTATCAAATATTAAAAAATTATGTATAAATTACAATAATTGCTTACCTCTAGGATTTGGTGACTTTTTCGGGTCATAAGTCTTGGGTATGATATCGACAATAGACCAGAGCTGAGCACTGGTATTCATTTGAAGAATTGACGCCACAATACAATGAATTACACAAATGCATAGTTTTCTCGTTTGACTCAAAGAATTAGTCATTTCAATAGTACTTTACCTTCACATACAAACATCCAATCAATTAGTTAATTATATATATATTATGACAGAAAACGTATTCTAGATTTTTTGGTAAATATAAAAATTTTTGTTTATATATTAATTGGAAAAATGCATATCATTTTTATTAATTAATTACTATCCTATTATTATAATAATAATTACAGTATTATTTCATATAATTGTTGTGATGATCTAACATCAAAATCAGTGCTAACCCCCTCATGTATTGTATTATACCGATATATATATTTATATATTTATTATATACATTATAATATAGATATATAAATATAACTTACATATATTGATGACTTGACAAATTCATAGCTACAAGACTCGTGTTTTGCTCTTTTATCCATACAATACAACTGTATATTAAAGATATGGATGACATTATAAATAATTAATTAAAAATAAATTTAACAGAAAACAATAATTTGTATTGTTTTATATATTCTGGAGAATGGGATATAAATTAAATACAAATTATAATAAATAATCAATTGAATGGATATGAGGCTTAAAAGCGTATAATTTTGCAATCAATTGCCAAACAAATAAAATAATTGAAGAATCACTCAATATGTTTAACGTCAATTTCATTACATTTGATTTTTTTGTATTTTTTATTACATTTTTAAATAAAAATAGTATTTAATTTGTAGCAAAAATTTGCTAAAACACTCAAATGACACACACATACAAAAGTTTACATAAGTAAAAATCTATCAATAGTTTGGAAAATAGCAATAAATTATTGTCAAAATTATATACAGTATTTTGTTACAATTATAATAACTTTTCACGAATTCCTGAAAGGAATACGTATATGCATTCTAAAAGTCTGTCCGTCTGTCCGTCTGTCCGTCTGTCTGTCCCACGAGGACATAGGTTCGAATCCAGGCTCCGCTGCAAAAATTTTTTTTGATTTTTTTTTTGTTTTTTTTCTTTTTTAAGTTAAGGAGATCGTATGGGAATGCTTTTGAAGCATTCTCAACTGGTTTATATTAGTATTTATTATTAGTATTTATAACTATAAATAATTTATAACTATATATTAGTATTTATTATATTAGTATTAATCATTTTGCAAAAAATAATAGAAACATAAAACTGATATAAATCAATAAATCAACTCAAAATATATACAGTATATTTATAGATAATATTACATAAATATGTATTAATGATTATATCATTTCCATATTAATTTTGTTACAAAACTCAGTAAACATCTAATTATAATTAACAAACTGTTTAATTTAAATCACAATTGGGTTATATTTCCAAAACTAAATTTTTTAGTTATCATCAATCAACTTTATAAATTTAAACTGTATAATTAAAAATGTGCAGTATTATTTTTATATAAAATTAATAATTTTAAATTTATGTGATATTACAGAAAACTATTATAATCTTTACAGTATTGTATTACCTATTTGCATGTATAGCAATGTTATTACCTATTATATCCATCATTTTTGTAATAACTATGGGTCAAATCATTTTTACAAAATTATTACATTTGATATTATTATGAATTCAATGTATAACTTGAGTAAATTGATTAATGCGTTCAATCACATTGTAATTGTTATATCGTTATCAATGATTTTTAAATATTAATTAACCATTTTTTGACTGTGATGTAGAAGTATTGTTTGATTAAGTGTCAAAATTATTACAATAGTTACACAATAAAGAAAAATTAATTTATTTATTTAAATTGACGTCACTTTCTCACAGTTTTCCACATATTTAAAAGTTAATATATTTAAAACAATTAATTTATTTATAACATTAACTGGTATTATCTCGTTTAACAAATCTATAACATTTGTTATTCATATATTTATGAGACAATACTTACTATATATTTGGCAAACATTATCAAAATTCATTACAAATAAATTTCTGTTCACTTAATATTAATCATATCATAATCATAATTATTAATAATTTATTTTTTATATTATTATGGATTTTATAGGTAATATCATAATTTTTATATCATAAGCACAAAGCATAACTTACATCTAATTGTTTGATTGTTTTATAATAATAATTACAACATTAAAACGCAAATTGTTAGAAATAATTGAAAATGTTTTCAATATAAGTCTAAAAGTATTTATTTATTATACGTATTTAAGTCTAGTGTCTAGAGATTATAAAAAAATTTGCTTACTCTTGTCATAAAAAAGTCTAGATATAAATAATATAATAGTCATGTTAATGAAAAACGTGATTTGAAAAATTAAAATGATTTATATTAAATTAATTTTTTAAATAAATAAATTGTTTTTAATGCAAAGATTTTAGTCTTAGAATAATTATACATTTTCTCAAAATATCATTAAAAAATAAATGTTTATAAACATTAAAATAATATATATATATATATTTAAATGTATAGTAAGTTATTTGACAAAAATTAACTGTTTTTCTATTTAATGTTATTTATATTAGAAATATTGTTTGTCTTTAGACTTAAGAATAGACTCTGAATTAATACGAGAGCTATGAGTTTGGGTCGAGAAATATCCGCAACGAACCAAATAAATGGATAAAATGATTAATATTGAGACTAATATTGATATAATTGTTACACTAATTATTAATATGAAATCAATGTCTCCTTTTTCTTCATTGGCATTATCTGCAACTAATTGGCAAATATATATAATATAATTAGTAAACAAATTATTATATATATAATAAAATATAGATATGTCATACGTATTGGCCAATTGGATGTTTTAATAACTATAGTTGTGGTCTTTTCATCTAAATTTGACGGATCTGTTGTAAACTTTGACGGTACTATTGGCGGTTCGGGTGTAGTTCCCGGTGCGCACTCCAACCACGTTGAATAGTATTGGGTTATCAGGTTATTGGAGTAGAGATGACCCTTAAATAATTAAATAAATAAATAATATTTAATATATTTTATCAAAAGTTGTTCACAAAATAATTATTTCTGTTATTTTGTTGACTAACATTAGCCACTAATTCTAAGTCAACGGAGAACTGGTAGTGAGAGTTCTCCTGAAACAAACTGATGTCTCCCTCTAATGGTCCCACATTCGGGTCAACCATTGGATACATAGTGTAAACCATAGCCGCGTCCACAGATGTATTCATTTTCCAAAGAGCTCGATATAGTGGACCACCAAAAAAGTTGACGGCTTTCCCATTAAACTTGAACTCATTGTCTAAACATCCAATAAGTCGAACCCAATCGTAATAATAGGTATTATTAAGAGCCGATGTCATCACAAATATACTCTCGTCGCCCAACTTTTTAGCCATTGGACCGACTTTTATGTTACTAAAGTTGATGATTGCGTCAACAGATTGAAAGCCCGGATAAAGCCATAAGTGTTTGAGTGACGGATCATTGAGTCGGTGATCAACGGTGTTAATCCACGAAGAATTATGAATCAAATAAGTCTTACTTTTGAGATTAACGCCATATTCAGAATTAAGGTCAGAGTCGACAATCACAATCATTGGTACAATTATGTCATCGACACAGCGCTTCCACATCCGGAAAAAGGCGGCGTCGGCCCGAAAATCATCGGGTAGTCGACCTTTACAATTGTCAGCCGTCGGCATCACATCGCTGTCTAATATCCAATAATAACCATTTTTGGCAAAGAAATATCCCGGCTTTAGATTTACATTATCATAATATATGAATTGAGTGATTGAATCAAATCGTGACGAATGAACACACATTTCCGGTGGACTAGAGTTTGTGGGTCTGACCACTACATTAGCACCGGGAGTATCGAGACTATCATGTAATTGTATTATAGATAAAATTATAATAAAACACATTATTTCTGTTGAAGACATTTATCATAAAATTTCTAAATATGACGGTTTGGATTTGAATAATGAAGTGATGGACAAACTTATTAATACAATACTTATTGAGTTTTTTTAATTTCACGCGCAATCGTAACCACTAAATATCGTTATATTATGTTAAGTGTTTCTATTAGTAATTAAAACTATATATTATATATAAAATAAACTATAAAGAAATGTGTATTAGTGTAATTAACATTATGGATTTTAATGATTTATAAATTTGTAAATAAAAATTTGTTTATAAAATATTTTTTCAAAAAATTATAGTTAAAGTATTATCAAAGTAATATAGTGTACTAAATAATATCACTTTCACTGTATATTATATCCTATATTCGGTAATAAAATATTTCAATGTTAAGACTAAGTTTTAAAATAATATTTTTTGATATAGTTATGTAAAATGTCTATTTAAAAAAAATAATAACTCTATTAACAATATATTACAATACACTTACAAATGTATTACATGAATTGATTTTTAGTTGATTACATTAATTGATTAATTGGTAAAGATATTTAGTCATAAGTAAAGATATACTGTCAAATACAAAATAGCAATCATTTAAGATATGCCATACAAATTAATATTGTATACAAAAATATTATAACTATATTATATACTGTATATTATAAGTATAAACATCGACACATCAATTATTATGTTTATTCAGTAAAATATACTATGAATATATTCAAATATAATCCCTATTTGCATTTTAAATAAAATAAAATAATATAAACAAAAAATATAAGTATAATATTTAGCATAATACAAAAATTGAATATAAAATATTATATAAGTTAAAAAAGTTTTTTTTAAATAATGATTACATCAGTAAACCTGTGCATTAATTTCAGCTTATAAGACATATACTACTAAATTTAATTATCATTAATTAAAAAATATGAAAATATATATTTAATATTTTTTATTTTGTTTCACTGAAAATTTGAATTTATAGCAATATATTTATCATTTAACACACTATATATATTTTATTAAATTAACTTATTTATTTTATTAAAAAAATATTTTGTATCTAATTTATAAATGTCGTAATGGCATAGAATGTATAAATATTTTCATATAATTTACATATTCATTAAACAAATGACTTGTTTTTATTTTTACTTATTTTTATTTATATGATATATAAAAAATTTATAATAAAATAAAATCTCATTTTAAAGAGTGATAGTAAAAGTGTGTCCATAAAAATAGATTATAAATTCAAATTAAATGCATTTTATGTTTTCCAAAATATACATACAGTATTAAAGCATATCTTATATATGAATAAAATATTTATTTTCTCTTTTAATGATATATTAATATTTTTCATATAAGAGAGAGACTCCACACATTGATAGTGTTTAAAAAAATTAAGTATTAAAATGTTTAATATGTTAAATATAACAAAATTTATTAATAGAATATAGAGTATGATATACTGTATTTTACTTTAACTATAAATCTGAAGTATTTTTTTTTTATTTTCTCAAAAACACTTTTACATTTAGTATAAATTATATGCCATTATTAATATTCATTAGTTTAAATCTAAAGATTGTATAAATGAAATATTTGATAAGTAATCATAAAATATGCATTTAATTATAATTATTACCAGATATATTATAAAATGTGAGTTGATAAACATTATCTAATTTATTTATTTTTTGCTATACATTACAAATTGTAAAACATAATAGCTTTCAGTAAAAAAAAAGTGATTTTAGTTTTAAAATACAAAAATATAAATTTGTTAATAAAATTGAGTTTTGAGCTTTTGTTTAAAATAAATAAAACAATATGTTTTCAATTACTTAGCAATTGATACAAATCCAAAATTTTTTTCTAAAAATGGTAGTAATGTGTCTGCAAATTAGTTAATAAATTATTGAATTTTTAAATGTAATAATTATAAAATTAAATTATTAAACTATGTTATTTAGTCAATGATGTTGAGATGATTTACAATATAGACTGACATTTATAACATACTACTGTTACAAATTTGATGTATTAAACAATTTTATTTTTTATGAATTTTATGAAATAATTGTTTGATTTTTGGCCAAATGGTTATGTCCTTCACATATATCACATCCTTAGACTTTCATAATACTCTATTCGATGGATCTCATGACCAGACCATATAAAAAGGCAAACAATGCCTACAATAAGTTGAGTTAAATAAAATAAATTGTCTGTATTTATAGTTTTATATATAAGCAGACATAAAATGATTATTTTAAAAATAATACAATTTGTTGTGATATTTGTTACCGTATTGTTTGCGACATCAGTACGAGCGCAGTATGGAACCAAAGGTGGTGGTCGCGGACCCGGACTTACAGGAGGTCGACCACCTGGTACTGGAGTTGGTGTGGCTCCACCAGGAGTGCCAGGTATACCTGGGACAGGAACTTCTGGCCCTTCAAGTATTGGTGGTATACCAGGAGCTGGAACTGGTGGAATTCCTGGTGTAGGAATGCCGGGAGTGGGAACAGGAGCTGGAGGACTGCCCGGATTTGGTGGTATTGGCGGTTACCCTTTAATTAGCGGTTATCCATTATTAGGAGGACGGGGATTTGGGGGACAATTTGGTGGTATTTCACCATATGGTGGTGGTCTGCATACTTTACTTGGCAGTACTGGAGGTCTTGGTGGTCTAGGAGGACTTGGTGGCGGATACCCTCATGGAGGTGGACTTGGAGGATTAGGAAATCTTGGAGGACTTGGAGGTCTTGGAGGTCTTGGAGGTCTTGGAGGTCTTGGAGGTCTTGGAGGTCTTGGAGGTCTTGGAGGATATGGTGGATTAGGTGGTGGTCTCGGTGGACTTGGTGGTGGTGGCGGTCTCGGAGGTATTGGCGGTTTACCTGGAATAGTTGGTCTAGGCGGTGGAATTGGTGGCTATCCTATTGGTCGTGGAATTGCGGGAATGGGAGGCTTACCTTTGGGTACTGGAGGATATCCTCTAATAGGCGTTCCTCAATACTTATGGCCAGGTATGCCCGGAACCAGACCGGGACAGACAGGAACATCAGGAAAAACTCCAATCGGTGAAACACAAACACAACAAACCGCTGATGGATGGGATGATGAAGACGACAGTACAGCTGCCGGTCGTGACAGGGGTAGACCCGACGGCGTTGATGGTGTTGGACAACGAAAAATATAATTATGCGGACATTTATTACCACTGATTTCTGGAAACGACATGACTTTGATTTTTAGCATTAAATACCTATTTCTCTAAAACAGCAATTTTATTATCTCATTCATTGTTTTTTTGCTTTTGTAAACAATTATTTCAAATTATATAATTTAAATTGTATTATTTTTTAATTTATTTTATTGTTAATGATAATGAAAATTATATTGTAATAAACATTTCAAACAATAAATTGTAGTTTTATGCATTTTAAATAATTTCAATATATTTGAATTATATTAATAATTAACAAAATTTAAAACATTTAAATTGATAGAAAAACAATATATTAATATTCAATTGTTAATACTTTACATGTATGTTTTTAAATATTTCAAAAAGTATTAAAATAAAAATAAAGATATTATAAAATATTTTATTTACTTAATTTAAATAATTACTAATATTTTACAAAATAATCATTAATATTATTATAAATAATTGTAAACAATTATATGTGTGTTTGTAAATTTCGTAACAAAATTTAAAAAAAATAAATTGTTATATAACAAGTTGTTTTAATTATAGGGTTAATAAATTAATACAAATTGCAATTAATAATACTTGTGATTTACTTTGAATACAAAACATTTTAAAGCAAAAGTTTAATTAAGTAATAGTTATTTTGATTAGATTTTTTGTTTGAAACATATTTAATATACATTATTAAGATAAAAGATACGTATAGTTATGAATCACAAGCGTTTGTAATTATTAAGTCTTGACCCATATTTATCACTAAATTTATTGCTTTTTAGAGGTTTTCAATTAAACATAAAAAACAAACAAAAAACATAGAAAAAATTTTAAAACAAATAAAAAAATTATTTATAATCACTAAAACATTAAATTTATTCTTATTATTAATATCAATACAAAAGCCTTGATATTATAGAATATATTTATATACAATACAATACAATACTCTATATTTTATATGATAATTGATAGTATATTTCACTTAATGTAATATAATGTTATATTACTATATTATATGAATATAATTACAATAATTACTAATGTTTTAATAGCTAATCTGTATTAAACCACATACTAATTGCTAATTTTTAAATTTTAATTGAATCATAGTTATTGTATAATTATTTAAAAAACAGTTACAATGCATTAGTAAATACTTTTATTTTTTATTATATTTGAAAAGGAATTTTTAAATAAATCACATAATAGTAAAACAAATTTTGTTTATTATTTATTTTATAAGGATTAAAATCTTAAGATCTTTATTTTGTATTATATAGTTATAATATATACTAATGTTTTTATTACTTAAAATAAGAATTATTATTTTTTTAATTTAAAGGTTTGAATTTATATTTTTAATAAGTAAAATATTATTCATAAATATAGTGAGATATATGTATATTGTGATACAATAACTAGATCTTGTTTTTAACAATAGCTTCAATATATTATTAGTAACTTATTAAAAACTTATTATCAATATTTATTATTAATGTTAAATATTGATAACTTTGTTGACTATTACAGCATTCATAATAATTGCATTCATTATTTTTTATAGATATTTATACAGATACTTATTGCATAATTATCAAATTAACGTATTAATTACTAAATTACTAATAAAATATATTATACTAAATACTATAAATGATAAGATATGCTTTAAAGATAAGAAATATGAACTAAATATGAAAAATAAAATATTTTAATGAATTAAAAATGATATGATATTTATAGTAAACCCGAACGCAAAATATGAAAATTCAAAAATGTATAAATTAGTAATTGTCATTAAATGTATCATGGTAGATTTTTTACATAAAAGTATAACGATTTTTTATACGACATTTATAAATAATATAGTTTTACATATATACAGTATATGTAATATAAAAAAAGTTTGCTGTAATAATAACTTTGAAAAAATGTCAGAGTATGAGATAAACAAATTAATATTTAATTTATGGTAGTTTACTCGTAAAGATTTTTATTTTATAAAAGTACATTTCATAAATTATAATTCAAAAATATTTTGTTACTTAATTTGTTTAATCATTGTGAGGCTTATATTTTTTTAACTATAAAATCTGTAGTAATTTTTTTAATAATATAATACAACTCACATATTTAATAATTAATTTTTATTAATAATTGCAAAGCAAATTTACTAAATAAAGTATATAATTTACAATCACTAAAATATATGCAATAATTGTTTGTAAAAAGTAATTATATTGCAATGATTTTATTATTAATATAATTTGTAAACAAGTTTTAATATTATTTCAATTAAAGTGGCAATAATTTCAATAAATTGCATAAAAATAATTAATAATAACTACTATTTTTATTTTTATTGCAATAATTGCTTAATATCATAATGTTTAATAAAATAATGGCAACAAACAGTTTATTAATTTAAAAAATATATAAAATTTATTGTCTTTTTTTATTCATTGAATGTTTACTTTATTTAAATTTAAATACTGTATATCATTAGTAATGATTCATTACTCTTAAATCTCTCAAAATATATTACGGTATATATAATTTTTTGTGTATAAAATATTTATGTAAAAAACAAATTAGAAAAATAATTCATTTAAAATGTTAACAAATAAAAAATAGTTTAATAGTTTATAATTTTATCAATAATAAATCAATATTATTATTATTTATTATTTATTATTATTAAGACAACAATCATTTGCTGACTTTATATCAATGGTATTTCAGTAGTGATGGCAAAAAATGGAAATTTCTAGAAATTTTCTAAAAGAAATTTCCGTCTATGAGATCCTAATATTAATTTTGTTGTCTCGATATTTGTTATTTTGAAATAATTCATTATAACTATAAATAGTAAATAAATTTTATTATTAGTATTTTTAATTAATATTCAAAGTAAAAAATAATTCATTTAATTACACTAAACAAAAATATAAATCAATTATAAATAAAATTTTACAAAAACTAAAATTATAATTAGATAATTATATGAATTTTATAAATAAGAGTCCCATTACTATAGTAGTGAAGTGTATATTATGTATAATTAGTACAGTATTACAATATGGGGATCTCATAATATAAGGATAAAGTAAAAATTTCTATAGAAATTTATTCCTGAAAAACTTTCTTAGAGAAATTTATTAGAAAATTTTTATTTACCGATCTCTACATTTAAGTATTTATATTTGTTTAATGTAATTTAGATTAAAATTAATATCAAGATAACACTTTAATATAATAGTCTCTGTTTGTTTGTCTGTTTGTATGACACCTTTCATCAACAACCATATTTTAATTCAAATCTAAAAATGTATTGTTATATTTTCAATTTTTATTCAAAGCCATGTTATTTGTATGAGAAATTTTAAATGATTATTGAGCACTGGTAGGTTTTATGTACAGGTAGGCAGGTATTGTGGAATTACATTTTGCTATATTATATGAGTCATAGGGCACCGGGAGGTTAGATACCTGTGCTAAAATTTTGTAAAATTTTTTCAAATGCAAAAATTTTAAATTTGTATTAAAATTTACACTTTTTATTGAAAGCAATGTTATTTGTATTAATGGCATTAACTCATTAGAGATCCCAAAGTTATTGATTAAAGATTATAGCAATTATTATCATATATTTTATACTTTAAATATTTTCTGATACTTATATACCGGTATATAAATTATTTTTTAATTTTATTTTAATTTGTATTTAATAAAAATATTGATTTATTATATAAGGTAGTAAATTAGACGGTCATTCAAATTACTTATGATGAATATTTTAAAATTAGTATAAGAATTGTAAGGCTATACATGTTGCGGGAGATTACTAGTATGATATAATTAATTATTATTTATCATAATATGTAATTTATATTATTTAAAATTGATATTAGTATCTAAAGTCGTAAGTGTTGATTATTTATTTGTTAATCAAATAAGAATTAGTTAATAAAAACTCAAAATGTATATTTTTTATAAAATTTTATTAATCAAATCAACGTATAATAACTTTATAACAATAATTATTATTTATTAAATTTTTTAAAATTAATTAATTGTCATTTTGGGTTACTCTACAAGTTGATTTTTTTATTTATATAATAAAATATAATATAAATTAAATTAAAAAATATTTATATTGTATGTTTGTTTTATTAAGTATTATAAATATAATTATTATTTATTTATAATTATTATCTAATTTATATGCAAAATATCAGTACTAATAAAACATTTTAGTGCACAAATATTTGATAGAAATTTGATTATTCAGACATTTACTAAATAATATATTACAGTGTTTGCTGAAAACCACTCCTTTAAACGAAAATTAAATTACATAACGTTCTAACATATTATTTATTTAATAATTATAAATCAATTATTTAACATAATATTTAATAATTGTTGAAAAAATAATAAAAATAGCTAAATTAATAATAATATTTTTTTTAAATTCAAAAATTACTAATAATAAGACATTTTTTATAATAATTGGGTTAAATATATCTAAAAAATTATTTTGTTATAATTCTAAAAATACACAAAAATTGCATAACTTAATTAATAGTTAAGTTTATGTATACAATTTAAAACAATGCTTAGGATTTTAGTCAAATAATTTTTTGATAAAAACACTTAATAGCTCTTATTTGATGTAATCATATATGATATAAAACAAATTGAATTGATAATGCATACATAAAAATATAAAGTATTTAATTATATATATTTATGTAAATGTAATTAATGTAATTGTTTGTAATGTATAGTACATTATAAGCAAATATTATTTTTTATAAAAACTTTAGAATATTAAGATTCTAATGTTTTGTCGTACAATATATGTGATTGCATAACAATATCGTATATATTATATATTATTTTAGTTAATTAACAAACAAAAGCTTTAACATAACATTTTAAGTATAATATAAAAAAAAAACAAAACAATGCTATCATTTATTTAA